AAGGCAGAGCGATACACAGCGGCTGCGCAGCGTTGCTGGAGTCGGCGATCTATGCAGCAGGGGACACTAGTAGAAGGAAGCATTGACAAAGAACTGTACATAAGCCGAGCACGTCTTGCGCCGGTCGCGACGCTTGCAAGCGATGGACCTGAGTGACACTGGGCATGCAATGAACGTCGCTGGACAGTTGCAAGACCTGTTGCAGGGCAACCCCGGAGATGAGGGCCGGGCGTCGGCTTGTGAGCGAGCCAAGGCGGTCTTCAGCGCGTGGGACTCTGTAAGGGTAAGGCCAAAGATGACGTGCAGGTCCGAGTAAGTTAGCTCTGTCAGGGCAGCAAGCGTTGCCTTTTGACGAGCAAAGGCGGGATGGTGGTGGCCCAAGCCCGCGTCCAGGAGAAGCGCGCGGACAGCTTCTGCGTCTGACTCCGGCTGGTGTATTGCTGCTGGCGCAGGTGCACAAGCGCCGGGATCAGCCGCTCTTTGGACAAGGGGTCCCGGAACCAGAGGCGAGTCTGGCGGTCCTGCCCCGGGCGCTGAAACGCGTGCATTCTTGCGTGGACGGCCGGGTTTCTTTTGGTCAGGCAGGTCGACCTGGTTGATCTTGCCCTCGTGCTGCAGGCAAGCATACATGTGCTCACAAGGCCCCCAGCGCGCTGAGACATCGCACAAGAAGCACAGGCAGAAGTTGTGTGGGTTATGCCCGGTACCTTCATCGGCGCCTTCAGGGAGGCTGACGTATTTATCTTATATAAACTATATATATTCTAGATACTTTGTGTATATGTATATACAGTACGGTACAGTACAGTATTGTGTCCTATAGTATAGTATAGTATAGTATACTATATACTATACTATACTCCAGTAGAGTATACTACATATATATATATATATATATATATATTTATCTTATATAACCTATATATATTCTAGATACTTTGTGTATATGTATATATATATAGACATACGCAGAGTAAATTTACTATAATATACATATTTATATATATGATGTACTATATATATATATATATATATTATGCTTTATATATACTATGTATATTTATATTTTTTGTTTGTTGTCTGTACTATGTATACCAGATATACTATATCTACTATATATATATGCTCACCCCCCCCCCCATGATCTAGGTCGAAAGGCCTTTCGGGCCCATCGAAGCGAGATTTAAACCTAAGTCGGAATGAAAATTAAAAGGCCACTGGCCTCATTCGTAGTAAAATTTTTTTAGAAATCTAAATTTGCCAATTAAAAGCCGCACCCTATGAAATCCTCTTCTGGGGCCTGCCTGTCCGTAACAAAATCTCACAAGAGCTTTATATGCAGAGGTTACAGCCTCAGAAATCCTCATCTGGGCTTCCTTCCTATTTTATTGAGAAAATGCTTCTACATAAGAAGCCCACACCCTACGAAAAGAATTCTATACTTAAAGGCCACACCCTATGAAATCCTCTTCTGGGCCCTCTTAATGAAATTTCAGTAGACTTGTGTCTGATAAAGCCACAGCTTCGTTCGTAATTAACCCAAGTAAAAAAACATATTAAGAGGCCCAGCCCCAAGACATCCTCTTCTAAGCCTCATTGATTAATACCTATTTAGAACATTTTTGTTTTTCCCACACCCTGTGAAATCTTTCGCTGGCCCCATTCGTAATGAAACGCAATTTGATTTCATATTGTAAGCCCACACCCTAAGAAATCCTCTTCTGGGCTTCGTTCGTAATTGAACCCAAGTAAAGCAAGTGTATATTCAGAGGCCAACCCCAGGACATCCTCCTCGCAATGAAACCGAGTTAGAATTCTATATTGCAGACCATACCCTATGAAATCCCTTTCTGGCCCCTATTTGTAATGAAGATTAATTAGAATTCTGTATTACAAAGCCACACGCCAAGAAATCCTCATTAGACCTTCGTTTGTAATTAGACTTATTTTCGATTTGCCAAGATGCTTGTATTAAAAAAAGCCACACCATTCTGGGGCCTGTTCGTAACAGAATCTCGTAAGAAGTTTATAATTCTAGGTAAGAAGCCCACACCCTAAGAAGTTCTGACCTAGGCTAGGTTCGTATGTAACTCTTGGACAGAAATTTATATCATGAGCCCCCATTCGTATTTGAATGTACTTACAATTCCATATTTAACCGCTAGACCCTATGAAATCCTCTTCTGGTGCCTATTAGTGAAATGTCAATAGACTTGTATATGATAAAGCCATAGCTTCGTTAGTAAATTAAACCCAAGTCAAACAAACAAATTAAGAGGCCCCGCCACAAGACATCCTCTTCTAAGCTTCATTGGTTAATACCTATTTGGAATTCTATTTTGCAGACCACACCCTATGAAATTCTCCCCTGGCCTCGCTTCATACTACAATGTTATTTGAGGTTTGTATTAAAACGCCACACCCTAAGAAATCCTCATCTGGACTCGTTTGGAATTCCACTTAAATTGAATTTTAAGTTTAGAGGCCACACCCCTTTGGACAGAATTTAGAAGGCCACACCCTAAGACCTGTGTATGGTAAAGCCACAGCTTCGTTCGTAAAACCAAACCAAGTAAAACAATTAAGAGGCCACGCCCTTCTAAGCCTCATTCGTTACTACCTCTTTGGAATTTTATTTTACCGACCACACCCTGTGAAAGTCTCCTCTGGCCCCGCTTCGTAATGAAATGTAATTTGAGGTTTGCACTAAAACACCACACCCTAAGAAATCCTCAACTGGACTTCCTTTGTGATTCCACTTACATAGACGTTTAAATTAAGAGGCCACACCCCAAGACATCCTCTTCGAAGCCCCACTCTTTTTTAAGTCGAATTAGACTTTTGAATTGCAGGTCCACATCCCCAAAAGAACCACACCCTAAGAAACCCTCTCTATTTCTTTTTTTTTATTACTTTTCATATCAAGACGCCACATCCCAAGACATCCTCTTCTAAGCCTCATTCGTAATTAAATCTAATGGAACTTTACATGTTAACGCCACGCCCTGCATACCGAATAGGCTGAATTGCAAAAAAAAACGAATGGTGGGTGTGTTTGTGTGCTTTTCTCTGTGTGTGTGCAAGGCAGTCACATTAGCAGAAACAACGTATAACAGTACACATTCTTTATACAAGAAAAGCACTTTTTGCAAAATTTGCGAAAAAAAAACCAAAAATCCAAAAATCCAAAAATTCAAAACCATGGAGCCGGGAGGCCGCCTTTTTTGGATTTTTTGGTTTTCTCGAGGTTTTTTTGGTTTTTTTTGGAAAAATCCAAAAAAAACCATGTGTTTTTTTGGATTTTACTTGCTCCTGGCCTCAAAAACCTAAAAAAACACACGTTTTTTTTTGGATTTTGAGTGAAAATCCAAAAAAACCCTCGTGTTTTTTTAGTTTCTGAGACCAGGAGCACCTGAAATCCAAAAAAACACGAGGGTTTTTTTGGATTTTCACTCAAAATCCAAAAAAAAACGTGTGTTTTTGAGGTTTTTGAGGCCAGGAGCAAGTAAAATCCAAAAAAACACATGGTTTTTTTTGGATTTTTCCAAAAAAAAACCAAAAAAACCTCGAGAAAACCAAAAAATCCAAAAAAGGCGGCCTCCCGGCTCCATGGTTTTGAATTTTTGGATTTTTGGATTTTTGGATTTGTGTCAAATTTTGCAAATTCTGCAAAAAAGAAGTGTTTTTTGCATACAATTCTGTGTTTATAAGCCTGTCCTATGCAAATAACTCATAGACATGTTTACCAAATTGCATTTTCATGTGTTTTTTGGGTGCTTTTTTATGTGGTGATGTGGAAGTAGTGCTAAACACACGCGTTTTTCACTATTTACAGGTTTTCTCGCATAGGACTAGACGTGCAAAAACAGGACATCGCCTAGCATAGCCAGCATGTCATTTTAATCGGTATTTACGAGGGTTTTTATAGGGACAAAGCAAAACCTAGATCATGGGGGGGGGGGTGACCATATATATATATAAATATATATACATTAGCGGGTTTAGGGTTCAGGGGTTCAAGGCTTCGGGGTTCAGGGCTTACTTTCGTTCTTTCTTTCATTCTTTCATTCTTTCATTCTTTCCTTCTCTATTGTTGGCTTCCTTTCTTTACTCCTTTCTGTTGTTTGTGTTTCCTTCTTTCTTTCTTTCTGGCTGACTTTCTTTCGTTCTTTCTTTCCTATTCTTTGCCTCCTTTCTTTACTCCTTTCTGTTCTTGCCGTCTTTCATTCTTTCTTTCTAGTAGTAGTAGTAGTTTCTTTCTTTCTCTCTCTCTTTCTTTCTTTCTTTCTTTCTTTCTTTCTTTCTCTCTTCCTTTCTGTCTTTCTTGCTGTCTTTTTTCGTTCTTTCTTTCTTCTTTCTGTCTTTCTGCCTGCTTCTCGTTCTTTCTTTCTTTCTTTCCATATACTATGTATATTTATATTTTTTGTTTGTTGTCTGTACTATGTATACCAGATATACTATATCTACTATATATATATATATACTGTATGTACAGTATCTCCTATATATATTATTTATATATACTATAAACGCTATATGTATACTATGTAGACTATATATCGAGTATATATTTACATACCATATATTTCTTACATGTATGTCGTCCATGAAATAAGTATCTATATGTATATGTATATCTAGTCATATATATATATATAGAACCCGTAGTATGGGCCCTTAAACGGGGACCCTGATATACCCCTTATATCCCCTATACGAATTAAGGGCCCATACATCAGAAACCTTTAAGGAGGTAAGGGACCATACTAAGGGCCGATGGAACTACCCATAGCCAAAGGTGATAGGGCTTCGGAATGTTCTGTTGTCCACCCCAAACTCTAAACCCGACGGCTCAGGCACGTCTGGGCCCTCACAAGTGTCGGGGTTTAGGGTTTGGGGTTTTAGGGGGCAGGGATTGGGGTTTAGAGTTTAGGGTTTGGGGTTTGGTCCAGGGTTCACGGATTAATTAGGGACTAGCAGGCATACGCACTCTGAGAGTCCTTCTCGAAGACGCGGAGGCCACCTAAGCCAAGAACCATGGTGCTCTTTCCGACTTCCTCGTGTTCCTTCAGCTCGCATCAGTGCCGTCCTTCTGTCCCTTAAACCCCAAACAACCCGAAAGTCTACCAAGCTGAGGTCCCGGGCCGGCGATGACCCGCAGCTTTCGCTTGGCCCCTGCCGCCGTGCCCAGGAGCAGCAGCCGCGCGGCGGCGCGAGCCAGGAAGATGAGCTGGCTGCCCTCGCCTTGGGTGGGGCCCACCCTGAAAGGCCCCGTTTTACCCAGAACCCCCCTACACCTGGGGGGGCCGATGTCTGTTGCAAAAGCGTTGCAGAGGAGCCGAAGCCACGATAAGGATTCTTACACGGGAGGGGGGGGGGGGGGCCTTTGGGGCTTTTGAGCTGCAGGTGCCTTAACACCTAGGAGCCCCAAGGTGCAAGGCTTCAACCTCCCAAGGATGCAAAAAGTGGGGGGATTCGGATGCTTCCCTACTTGAAGGCTCACGGGTAGCGACAAGTGGGGTCATAAGTAGGGACTCGAACCAGAACTGGTTTAAGACCTTATTTATATAGGGTACACTTATTAACCCTACTTGCTACTTATGAACCTCCAAGTAGAGTGGGTGCGATGGTGCGCTGGTGCAGCTCATGACTCGATGAGGCCTTACCTGCCCTGATAGCTAAGAAAGATCTGAAAGAGCTTCTACACCCTTCTCGGTAGCCCAGCAACCATATTACAAATCAGGGCACCCTGTTTTGGGCTGACTACTTTATAAGGGAACCCGGAACCCAAAAAATATATAAAGTAAAGGGCACCACTGGGCTACTAAGTCTTGGTAGCAAAGGAGCAGACCCTGAAACCCCAAACGCCCCAATAAACTTACATCCAAGCGGCCCCAGTGTGTTTGCACCAGCTCCCCTTTGGCATCTAGCTCCAGATGTCGGCGGCTGAAGAAGAGCCTAGGCGTTAGGGTGTAGGGTGTAGGGTTCAGGGTTCAGGGTTTAGGGTGTAGGGTTTAGGGTGTAGGGTCTAGGGTGTAGGGTTTACAGCCGGAAACCATGGTACCCTTGTTTTGACAATCTGGGCTTTACAAGGGAGGTGAAGCCAAGGAGACATGCGTGGGTCCTGAGAGGTTGGGGGGTACCAGCACGTTCTCCCAGGACCCTGCTGTCGCGAACCAATGGTCCTAAGACTGACATCCACAGGCTCCTATACTACCCTTCTACTTGGGTAGGGTGTAGAATCTAGTGGCGGATAAACAGGATCCCCAGGAACTGCATCTTGTAGCGAGCCGACGTCCGTCTTGCAAGCCCAAATGCCCTAAACCCCCGAAACACCCGAACCCCTCAAACCGAAACCCTCAACCCTAAACCCCCACAAAATTCCCAAGCCCTACCCTGAGCGCAAGGAAGCTAGCAAGGGCTTCTGAAGTCAGGTGCTGCCCACCACGGCTTGGGGGTTTGGGATTTTAGCTTAGAGAGTTTAGAGTTCAAGGCTCCGCAGAAGTGCAGGCTGGACACTCCTCCGGGAAGTTGTCGTGCAGGCCGTAGAAGCTGCGCAGTGAAGCAGCCTCGGGTTGAGGTTTAGGGTTTAGGATTTAGGGTTTAGGGTTCAGGGTTTGGGGTTTGGGGTTTGGGGGTTTGGGGTTTGGGGTTTGGGGTTTGGGGTTTGGGGTTTGGAGTTTAAAGAGCTGCTGGATGAGTGTAGAAGTGCATGCTGGGCACTGGACAACCCACCGAGGCCCAAATCCTAAGCCCCCAAACCCCTGCGCATGTATGGGGACTGCGTGTAAGAACTTGAACCGGGACAGTAGGGATAGGGAGTCTCAGGTGTCTGGCTGGCCTCGCAGGCTGAGTAGAAGCCCCAACCCTATGAGAATCCAGCCCGCCCTCCTTCCTACGTGGAGGACATGTCAGAGCTGCGCGTTGGTTATCTGCGGGGTGTGTAGTGACTCTGCACGTAGACATTCTTCAACATGACCATCCTTGTCTTCAGTTCTGGTTGGCAACTTTCAGAAGCTGAGAAACACGCCGAAACCCAACAAGCAGTGCAGATCACCACCTAAACCCCTAAACAAACATCAGCCTAATCTCAAAAGGCCAGAAACCTTGATCCATCCCAAGAAACACTTCGCTGAGCCCAGAAAGACCATACACCCCTTGGGCTCAAGGCACCTGAAGGCCCATTGCAGTCACTAAATCTCCCGGCCTGCCTCGCGCCACGTAGAACTCGAAAAGCGAACGCCAAAATAAGCCCCCCAAACCGCACAGCTGCAACAAGAACTCGGAAACCTGCATAAGCCCTAACGCAATACTTTTGTGAAACCCTAAAGCCCTCAACATCCCTAAACTCTATCAAAAGACCTAAATCAAAAATCCCCAAAGCCCCCGAACCCTAAACCCTAAACCCTAACCCCCAAAATCTTCAAAGCCTCCGGGCCCCGCCTGCTCCGGCGACTCCGCAAGGCGCTCGTAGCGCACGATCTCCCGCGACAGGGAACCCGATTTCCTGGCCGCGCTTCAGCAAAACGCGGGTCAGGGGGCTCAGTTAGGGTTTAGGGTTTGGGGTTCAGGGTAGGGTGTATACAGGGTTTAGGGTTTCTGGCTTAGGGGTTCACAGGGCTCCTGGGGGGAGGGGGTGGAGGAGACTCAGGGGGGAGGGGGATAAGGGGGCTTTGGGGGGTTTGGTGTTTCGGAGTTAGGGTGCATTTCAGGAAAGTCTTGCGAGGCTAGGGCCTCATATTGGCAAAGGATCCCATCCCCTTGTGTCAGGCAACTGCAATTAAACCGGGTTATAACTTCATAACCTTACTTCGGGTACTTATACCCCTACTTATAACTGCTCACGAACCTCGAGGTTGAGGGTTTGAGGGTTTAGGGTTGAGGGTTTAGGCCTGGCCTGGCTCGTTCGCGCCGCGCCTCGGCCTTTTGACGCTCCTGTCAGCATCTACAGGCGGGGCCTCTTGAATTCAGGGTTTAGGGTTTAGGGTTTCGGGTTTCGGGTTTTAAGGCTTCTAGTTGATCCTTCGCTCCAGGAGATACGACCGTCACGGGTGGAGAGGGCGGGCCGGGGTGGGGTTACGGCGTTGGTTCTTAGAGGTTTCGCCTACGCTCCAGAGAGCCCTTCCTAGGTCTGAACCCCGCAGCCCTAAACCCAAGACCTGCGCTGCTCCCGGGCCATTCCCGCAAAGCCCCCTGAACAGATCGCTGGGGTGGCCTACGAAAAAAATGAGGTTCTGGGTTCTTTGCGGCCAAGGCTTGGGATGCTCCCCCTTATACTGGCAGTCCTCAGTAGGGATTTTTAATAGGGGGCACTTTATGCCCTATAAGAGAGAACATCCCAACCCTAAACCCTGCACCCTAAAACCAACTGAACATCCCAAGCCAAGGCCATGTAAGGGAGCCACAACAACTCCCTCCCAGTTCGTTCACCGGGGCTCCTGCTCGCTGCGGCCGCTCTCGACAGCCTAGACTCACTCTCCGCTTGGCAAGTGGGTTTAGGGTTTAGGGATGAGGGTTGAGGGTCTAGGGCAAGCGGGTTTAGGGTGTAGAGTTGAACCTTAAACCCTAAACCGCCCTGCACCAGTCCGCTCCCAAATCCTAACCCAAACTCTTTCTGAATGCCCGACAGACGTTCCGAAATGGTGCATTGAAATAAGGAATCTTCATACTGAACCAGAGCCGCGGCATCAGCAAGGGATACCCTGTAAAGGATAAACGCCCAAACCCCCGAGCGCTGGAACCAGAAGGAGGATACACACACCTAGCCGACCAATGTCTTCACGTCCTCGCCCTGCGGATCGGTTTAAGGTTTGGGGTGCAGGGTTTCGGTTTAGGGTTTAGGGTTTGGGGTGTGAACCCTAAACCCTAACCCGAAATCCTAAACCCTGTGGGGTTTAGTTGGGGTGCCGGGATTCGACGCGGGATTGAGGGTTTTAAGCTCCGAGGCCTCGTCTGTGACCTCAAAGAAACCCTCAACCAACACCCTAGCTGGCCCAGCAAGTGGGCTTCCTAGTAACTCCTACGAACCCACACCCCACCTCCGAATTCTGCCCATAAGGCACCTTGTTCTAGCAACAACCTATATACCCAAAGAGGGGCAGGCTTCAGGCAAACCCTGCAAGCCCAGCCTCTTCCAGCTTCTTGAGCTGCTTCTGCCGCTCGGCCTCTCGTGGCGGGGGTGGTGATCCCCAGGCGTTTGGGGTGACCCAGGGCTGAAACTGCTAAAGGTTGTGGGGGCGGGAGGGGGGGGGGGCGGGGGAGGAGATGTCCGCCCCTTTTTTCCAACTAGTTGCGCACAGATGCTCGCCACATGTAGTGTGGGATTTTATGCTTGTGGTTTAGGCAGCGACACTCACAAACAGGATTCAGAGTTGCAGCCGCCACCCACAACCTTAACCTGAAGCAGACTCGGCACCCATACGAGAGTACGAAAACTAGGGGGACCCCCATAATAGCAGGATCCCCTCATAATAAGGACCCCAAGAAGGTGCCCCCTAATATCGCCAGACGGCCTTGTTGACGCTATCTGTCCAGCCGCGAATTGCTGATGCACTTTCCCGATTTCCCCGAAGATAGGGCCGCCTACTGCACCCCAAGATACAACATGTCCCTTGTTTCCGAAAAAACCCGCAATGGAAGGGTAACCCAATTTTGGCGAAACGCCTTGTTAGGAATGCGGGCCTCCTCACCGTCACTGTCCACATCGCTGTCGTAGCCTCGCTGCAGCATGCTCAGGCAGCCGTTAGCCCCACAAGCTGCAACTCAGCCCAAAGCACCATGGCTCTACGGCCCTGCAGCCCCTCAAAACTTCAAAACCCTCAAGCCGACAAGTGCCTTCAAAACCTTGGGGCCTGACCCCCAAAACCGGCGCCCACAAAATACTCCGGAAAGGCGGGTAGCTTGCTGGATGTTCGTGAGCAAGGCATGTGAAAAACTTGGTGTCCTATGCAGATACTTGTAAGTCCGATGTTCCCTAAAAAATTGTTCAGCTTAAAGGTTCATGGGTAGTTACAAGTGGGGTTATAGGTAGGGTCGCTATGGTTGCAACCTTATTTAGGGTATAACTACCCATGAACCTTCAAGTAGTTCCTTGCGAGGAACCAGGAAGGTCATTGTCTGGGTGCAGTCTGCCGTTAGATTGCCTTGCCAAGCCGCCCAGCGCTCGATCCTCCGGAGTAACAACCGCAATGCCACAAGCCCTACTTGGAGGTTGATTGGGGTACTGAAAAGATCTGAAAAGTAGGTCTATAAGTAGGGTAACTGTGGTTATAGCCTTATTTAGGGGTACTTAGAACCCCACTTAAAAGTACCCATGAACCTTCAAGTAAGCACGCTCCGGAGTGCAACAGGTTGGCCCCGAATCCGCGGAACCCATGAGGCAGCGCCATCAACGGCAGACCCTATGCCCTAGAGGCCCTGAACCCTCCCCCCCCCCCCCCCCCCCCTCCCCTCTCGGCTCCTTCTCCGGCTCCGCTTTCTCTGAGCTTTTGTGCCTCTCGGGCAGCTCGGCAGTCTTCTCAAAAACCTCAGCTGGGGTTCTCGGAAGCACCCATGCGCTTCTTACGACAACAGCCTCAACTTGACTTGGCTCACCCCCACCCCCCACGTGGCGTTTGACTGTCCACAAAGCCATCTGTTGTTGCTGTCTTTTAGGGGCTTTAGGGTCGAGGCTTCAAGGTCCCAAACATCGGGCTCTGTCGTCAGCACTTGAACTAACAGAGTGCTCGGGCACAAAGAAGTCAAGGCAAGGGGCGGCGATGAAAAAGCCTGGTCGAAGTCAACTCGTGGCTTCGGCTTGAGCTTCCCGGTTCTGGTTGGCTTCGTGGTTTCCTTGAGGCAAAGGGTTTGGGGGCTTGTATGTGGGGGTAGTTCTCTAATTACATTGGGGCCCCTTTTGGGGTCCCCAGTCTACGGGACCCAAAAAGGGCACCCTAGCTATGTAGAGAACTACCACATGTGCCAGCCGCGCAATAATGAAGGGGTGGGCGCCTCCCGTGTCGTTGTGGTGCGGGAGGATCCGGATGCACCGGGGCAGCTGCCGGCTCTCGGGCGCGTCCTCCGCGGGCGCGAAGACACCTCTCTTGCCAGAGTGGACATACGGCCAGTTTGCGGCATGCTGGGCCCCCCCCTTTTTGCAGAACAGACCCTTGTAGGGCGCACGATAAGGGGCCCACAAATTAGAGAACTGCCCCAACCTCAACTGCAGCTGTGTAAGCCGAACTGCGCTGGCTCCAGGTTGATTTTTCAGACTTTAGCTACGGGTGGGGTCTGTCATGGCCCATGCGTGCCTGGACGCAACTTCGCCCCAGCTGCCTGTGCCTGATCGGACAGCTTCACGGGTCTTTGACGAATGTCGATCATATGGTGACTGCTCTCAAGCTCCCGAACATACCTGCGCGACCGTCGTATAGGGCTCCGTACAATCACGGGAAGCAGAAGGGCCCCTCCCCCTTAACCCAAGCCCTCCAGAAATCCGACGCCCTTTGACTTCTGTGGCCTCCCTCTATACTCCAGAAGAAGGCTTAAGAAGGTACTTACACCTGGGGGACAATCGAACCCTCAACCCTCAACCCCAAACCCTCAACCCTCAACCCTAAACCCTAAACCGGTGTTGGGTTACCGGTAGGGTCTTGAAGACTCGTTGAGCCTCTGCATGGCTCGAGAAGATCTGCCGCTTGCTGGGATGCGCAACCTCGCAGCCCGCTTGGAGGTTCATGGGGTACCTTCTAGGCGGGGTTATTTGTAGGGTGGCGATAATTATACAGGCTTCGAATCTTATCTAGGTCCTGCTTACAGCCGCTTATAGCCTGATTTAGGGTACTTAGAACATGAAGCTCCAAGAACAGCTGAGGGCTTTCGGGAAGCTGCCGCAAGTTGCCGGGGACTTGGGCTTGAGAGTGTTTTGTAAGCCCTCCAACCCAAGAACAGGCCTGGAAAGCCACAAGCGATACCTGGCAACTGTAAAACCCCAGACCCTCAGCGGGCGGATGCAAGCGTTGCTGGAAGATGCTGTACCATCCCTTTTTTCTGGCACATTCCTGATGGCTCAGACAAAACAGAGGCTCCGAAATGAGAACCGGCTTCCTGCCTTCCACCGGCGCAGCCCCTGTGCCGTCTTGAGCGGCGCGAGCATGTCGCGCGCCTCGACGAGCACCTGGGCTCGGGAGGGTTGAGGCTTTGGCTCGGAAGAGAAGTTGAATCGTTGCACCCCACGCCCGCTTCCCAGACCTTCCTTTTGTTCTGGCTGAGCATGGAAGTGGACCCTCCCCCCCAACGTCAGAATCAGGGCCGCGTCCCATGTCTACCCCGGCCTGTCGCCACGCTTGTGGGGGGTTTTGGGCTTAAGGGCCCCGGCAAGTCTTTACGGCGGAGGGTTTTTAATGACACCGTGTTCTACGTTGCGTGCCTGCCTTTCGGTCCGTGCTTCCTTTCTGGGTTGCTTGTATTCCGCGTGGCGTGGAATGTGCATTAACATCCTTTCTACGAGCCACATTCATAGAGAAGAGAGAGCGAGATAGAGAGGGAGAGCGAGCGAGCGAGCGAGCGAGAGACGGACAGGGAGAGAGAGAGAGAGAGACACTGTTGAGAAGAATGCCGCCCTTGACTTTCCGCCGAGGTTACCGTATGTTGTGGGTCCTTCTCCGGGCCCCTTCCCCGCACACCCTATAGGGGTCGAGATGCCACGCAGCCGGTTCGAAGTATCTCGGCCACCACCGCCTCGTTCTCCACAGGGGACAGGCTGCACGTGCCTGGGCCGCAAAAGCGTTGGGTGCACGGCTGAGAGGAAGTGAGATGAAGCCTTCCCAAGTGGAGGATTCGGAGAGCTGGGCTTTAGGGCTACGGCTAGGGTTTTGGGGAAGGGAAGCTGTAAGCTTGCAGCTTACAGGATGCCCATCCCATCCCACACGGACTGGTGCAGGTGCGCGTCGATCTACCCTCTGCCCGTTTCGGTGGTTGTAGGCCTTCAGGGTTTTAGGCTCCCCGAAGGCCTCCTAAGATGGGGCATCCCTGAACTTACGAATCATAAGCCATTTCTTGCCGTCAAGCCTAACCCACCCCAGGCCCACAAGCCGTGGGATTTGCCCAGGGGCTGTAGACCATGCGCCCACCCACGCGCAAGAGGCGGACGGCGCGCAGGGCGACCTTGCTCAGTTTAGGGTTCCGGGTTTCCGGTTCGGGGTGCATCTTGCATCTTGACAGAGGGTTTGGAAGAAGGTGTCATGGGTCTTGGGCCGCCAGTCACTCAGAATGCACGAACAGCAAAGAACAGAACGAATTCGATTTAGAAAAGAATGGAACAACATAGACATTGGGATACCATGCATTCATTAGATATCGCAATATCAATCTGGCAGATGCATACCCTCCCCCCCCCCCCCAAAAAAAAAAAAAACTAATATATATATATATATAACTACTACCCTAGACCCTAAACCCAAGACCCGAAACTCTAAACCCTAAACCCCAAACCCCTGAACAGCCCGAGCTGCGGCCAACTGTGACGCGTGCAGCTCCAGACCCAGCTTGGGGGTCCACTCCTGGGCCCAGAAGAGTAGCTGGGTGGGTTTAGGGTTTAGGGTTCACTCAACCATAAACCCTGAACCCTAACCCTAAACCCTAACCCCCCCCCCCCCACCACCATCCCTAACAGGCCAGGGACCCGCCAGAGGTGCGGTGACTTGCGGAGCGTTCCATCCTCAGAGCAACAGCGATTTAGGGCTTCAGGGCTTTTTAGGGGTTTAGGGTTTCGGGCTTGAAGCTTTGGGTTTTTTGGGTGCAAGGCTTTAGGGCTTCAGGGTGGTGATCTTCAGTTTCCATGTTTCGGGGCTACGTTGTTCTCCTCCGCCGGCCCCAAACGCAAAGCAAAGCACAAGCAGTAACCTGTTTACGGGGGCTATACTCCATGTGGGGTACACAAAGGCTGCCCCTATTTGGGCAAAGCGCACATCTCGAAGACGTGTGACCACCTTTTTGGCAAGCCGCCGGTCTTGGTCTGCTGATCTACGTGCTCTTGGAGCTAAGTGGCATGCCAGCGGAACAGCAATACATCGCTTTGTGGTTTAGGGTTTCGGGTTCCCGGGCTTTGCGGTTTAGGGTTTAGGGTTTAGGGCTTAGTGCTACCCTCTCATTGGCCAACGTTCTGCAGGTGCAGCAGACAGCAAGATGCGACTCCCTAGACCATACAGGCTGTGTCCGTGGGATAGCGCTTCTTCAGACATCCTGGCGGACATTGCTGGGTGTTTTTGAGAGTGTATTCCTCATATCCGCCGCTGGAAGTCGGGCAGCGGCAGCAGATGTAACCCGACGCCCAGCGCCACACCGGATCGCCAAGTGCCTCAACCTTGTACTTCGTGATCTCTTTACATATCATCAATAACACATAATTGCAAGAAATCAGTCGTCAAAAACACGTAAATGTAGAAATTGAAGGTTGGGAATTGCATGGAATTGCTCTTCTTCTTAAGCTCATTGAAGGATTTTCAGCACACCTGGCCTGGGCCTGCTCCAAGCCCACGGAAGTCTGATGCTTGCCTGCTTCCTCTTGACTCCGCAATGAGACAGCAAGAGAAGCCAAATAGAAAGACATGGCCGCAAAGAGCAGGCGACGCATCTTTCGAATGGATATGGCGCTGGGATTGGGACAGACAACGGCTTGAGCATCCCGGCGCCACTCTCTGACATGGGGGTTTCCGATGATCGGGGTACCTTTTTTGGAGGGGGGTCCCTTTATTTAAGGGGGGATTCGATTGCCCAAGTCCTCCGGCGGACATTTGCAGCTTCTACTGCTGCGGAATTTTTGCGGCCAGAACTTCTCGGACAAGACGGATCGGGGCTTCCGGTGCTTGGGCAACGGCAATGGCAAGAGATCAACTATAGCACACTACTTGTCACAGGTCTGGTTGTATGTGCCCGAAATAAGGGTATAACCAGACAGACTTATAGTTACCCTACTCATAACCCCACTTCTACCTACCCAACCCCAAAGCTTGGGCCCTGAACACCCCAAAAACCGCCAAACCCGCAAATTTCCTCAGCCCGGCGGGATCGCACTCTAAGCCCCCCGACGCTGGAGCACATCACGTCGCACAGAATGCGGTCGAAGAAAACCTCTTAAAGAGGCCGGGACCCATAGGTGCTCGGGGGTTTAGGGTTTAGGGTTCAAGGGTCTTAGGGTTTTAGGGCTTTGGGTTTTAGGGTTTCAGGGTCTTAGGGTTTCAGGGTTTCAGGGTTTCAGGGTTTCAGGGCTTCAGGGTTTCAGGGTTTCAGGGTTTCAGGGCTTTAGGGCTTTAGGGTTTTAGGGTTTTAGGGTTTTAAGGTTTGAGGGTTTTAGGGTTTTAGGGTTTTAGGGTTTAGGGTTTTAAGGGTTTCAGGGTTTCAGGGTTCAGGGTTTAGGGTTTTAGGGTTTTTAGGGTTTTAGGGGTTTAGGGTTTAGGGTTTCAGGGTTTTAGTTTTTAGGGTTTTAGGGTTTTAGGGTTTTAGGGTTTTAGGGTTTTAGGGTTTTAGGGTTTTAGGGTTTTAGGGTTTTAGGGTTTTAGGGTTTTAGGGTTTTAGGGTTTTAGGGTTTTAGGGTTTTAGGGTCTTAGGGTCTTAGGGTCTTAGGGTTTGGGTTTCAGGGCTTCAGGGTTTAGGGTTTTAGGGTTTTAGGGTTTTTTGAGGGTTTTTGTTTGGGTGGTTTTAGGGTTGTTGAGGGTTTTTTGAGGGTTTTAGGGGTGTAGGGTTTCAGGGTTTTAGGGTTTTAGGGTTTTAGGGTTTCTGTCCTGTGAGGGCGGCTTTGGGTTTGGGGTTGGGCTTTGGGGTTTACTTGGAGGTTCATGGGTAGTTATAAGGAGGGTTATAAATACCCTAAATAAGGTCACAACCAGTTGTAATGAAAGTCGCCGTACTTATAACGCCACTTATGACTACCAGAGTCTATTGAATCGACATTGACAACCCTAAACCCTCAACCCTGAAGCCTATATAGAAACTAGAAGGGATACTGGGTGCCGTCAGCCGGGAAGGGGACGCTGATCGAGTTCAACAGGTCCTACAAGCCCAACTGAACTACAAGGGGGAGCAGCCAGGTTCCTCTAGTCCCATGAAGATACTGTGTTCCTTTGCCACTTCCCAATTCGGGTACCCAGAGGCACCTCGTGGCCCTGTTCGTCGCGGAGGCTCGGGAAGAAGCGCGCGTCGTGGGAGGTGAAGAGCACCAGGGGATAGAGGGATTGGTGCCTGGAGAAGCAGAAGCTCTGAAACCCTGCTGGAGGACTTACAATCAACAGCTCAGAAGCTCAAGACACAAGGGCTCAAGGCCCAAGCTCCAAGGGATGCAAGGCCCCAGAACAGAGCACCTTCTACAAAGGCCTGGATGGATCATCCATTCAGTCGGAACCCCGACTCCTCAAGATTCCGCAACCCACCCCAACCCACCCCAACACACCAAAGCCCTGAGTACCCTGAAACCCCAGCCAAAGTTCGAAGCTTGCTGGTGCTCTACGTGCACAAGCCTCGCGATCTGGTGCACGAGCATGCCCGCCCGGTCCGTGGAGATCTCGTTGGCCACCACGCAGCCCTCGTCTGTGGAGTAGTCGATTCCTCAGACTAGGGTTTAGGGTTTAGGCTTGAAACATCCTAGACCCTAACCCTGAACCCAGGGCAGAGGGTCGAAAGCTGTCCGTGAGTGCATGCTGGGTACCTGGCTTTGGAATTCATATCCCAAGAACCGAGACCCTAAACCCTAGAACGTTTTGAAGGGCACTCGGCCAAGATCATCAAAAACAGCAGCTCAGCAGCTCTCCAATCACCTCCGAAGCCTAGACTCTGCAAACCCCCAACCCCAAACCACACACGGGTTTAGGGTCTATAGGGTTTATCTTTGGAGCAGAGGCTTGAGCTGATTTCGGGAAGAGATGCATGCCAAAGAATCACGTATGCACCGTTCCCTGCCACTCCAAAACATACATACAGGGCTTAGGGTCTAGGGTTTAGGGTTCAGGGACCCTAGAAACCCCAAAACATCACGCAGGCGGCGGCCGTGCAAGAAGCGCTGGCAACGCTTCGTGGTCTCGCTGGAGATTGCCTCCAGTCCCCTGCCGCGGATTTCGGGATTCTCGGAGGGTCTTGGGACCCGGGACGGCGGCATCCGCGTGAAGTCTGAAAGAGGTCTGGAATTTTTTGGAGAAGTTTTAGGGGTTTAGGGCGAAACTCGAAAAAGCACCCCTGAGCACCTGCCCCATTTCTGGAAGTTCGCCTCAGCCAGAGCTGCTGCTCAGGTTCTCCGCGGGTGGCTTAGGGGACTTTACGTCGGAGGCATACTTCTTCTGCTTTGTTGTAGGTCTAGAGGGCTTACAGCTTAGGGTCGGTTGCACACGCAGACGGACAGAATGACGTCCGTTGGCCATGTGTATTATTGAGCTGATGCTGATCAAGGGTGGTATTGCTGCCAGAACTGAATATTGCCTGCGTACCCGCAGAACGATACGACCGCCAAAGAATCCGCCAAGGCCTCAGCCCCAGGAGTTGTCGTGTCGCGGCCGTTTTGCCTGGAATGGGTCGCCTGTATAGCCGACCCGGCATCGCGACAGAAGGCCAGGAGCACAGGGGCCGAAATTGCTGCCTTCTGGACCATGTAGGGAGCTATGGGCCCCTCTGCGCCTCCCTGTGGAACTTCCACAGACACTCCCGGACCTTATGTGGGACTTGCTGAGGACCTATGGACCCTATGGGCTCCCTGTGGACCTGCCCCTGCAACTGACTCGCAACACCCCCTGATTCCTGATTCCTTTGTGGACCAAGATATTGCACTATGGACCTCTTATGGCCTCCTCTGGCCCTCTTATAGCCTCCTATGGACCTGCTGAGCACCTCCTATGGAACTTACTGCTCCTGACCCCTTCGGACCCCTGGTTCCATGGCCCCCTACAAACCGTCTTTTTGCACCTGGACCTCCCATGCATGTCGTCCGGATTCCCGCAAAACATCTTGAGCCCCTACAGTATGACCTATCCATCTATGTACCTCCCGCGTGGGCCCCTCATCATATACCGCCTTAGTCTGCAAGACCCCATGGGCTCTGCCAAGGATGAAGCTACAAGTGAACGCTCTGGGGTTCAGGGCTTCGGATTCAAGACGTTCGGGCATGGCGCTTGGGAGCAATCCATTTCCTGAACCCTGCAGTCGTGTGGCCCTGCCCAGCTGGACAAGCATCTGCGCTGTCTTGCCTGAACCGGGGATGATTTCGGCTTGACCCATTTGCCCACTGGGGCGCTGGACAAGCTGTGCAGGGGAGCAAGGGCTTTGCTGCTCCTGAAGTAAGACATGTAACTCGGTTCAGAATCAGAACGAAAAGAATTTCAGGTCTATGCCTCAATCGGGAACCCCACGAACTCTTCACGACCTGATACGGAAGACAGCGGAAGGTCCTGGCATTGCTATCAATCATCGAGCCCTGCTCACCAAACAAACCCTGCATCGAACTAGGCCTCGCCTAGTTGCTTTGGCTCCGGATTGCTCTGTAGGCTTCAAGATTAGACTCGGAGCTTCAGTCAAGGGGAGGGAGGGGGTTGGGACTGCATGGGGCTGCCAGGAGCTATTTAGGGTTAGGATAAACCCGAACCTATACCTATACAACCTGGGCTTTGCGGGCTTTGTAGGGTTTGGGATGTGCAGGGACTAACTCTGCCTAGCGGCTGCCCGGGCTGGCACAGGTGTCGAGGCAGTAGTGGCCCGCTTGAACCTGGAACCCAAGACTGTGCACTCCGTTCAGAGCTTCGGGTGTTGGGACGGATGCCAAGTGCCAGGCGGTCCAAGTTGACTTCATGCTACAGTATTGCTGCCAAGAAAGGCAAGGAAGGCTTGGGGACCTCAGGAAATGTAGTAGAGGGCCGTTACATGGTGCTTGCATCATTCTCAGCAATCTGCGCACTTGTTTTCATGTCTCTCAAGCCAAGATCTCATGAGCATGCATACGGCGAGATTCAGACCGGCACGTTAGGTCTGCTGCGCGCCCCTTGGGGCACCATCTTCCAAGCTACGCCGCAATTGAATGCCTGCAGGTCTAGACGACCGCCAAAGCGGGTGCTTCCAGCTGGTTGATCCCACGGAGGTCTACGTCGAAGACCAGGTCGGCCCCCGGCGGAATGGGGCCTTTACCTGCATCTCCGTACGCCAGGGCAGCCGGGATGTGCAGCGCCGCTCGCTCTCCGAGGCTCATGTGCTTCAACGCAACCTCCCAACCACGGATAACCTGCGAGGCGCCAAGCTCGAAAGCGAACTTGCCATGGTCGAAGAGCTTGCCGTCCATCAGGTACCCCGCATACTGCACAGAGACCACGTCGCCAAGTCGGGGAAATGTCTTAGCATCACCTGCCCGCACCTGCTTCAGCCTGAGCCCATCCTCCAAAAGGAGGCTCGCAGGGCTTGCCGGCGGTGCAACGGTCATGTTGCTGGGCTTCGTGTCCAAGCTCTTGCCCACGCCAGCAGCTGAGTCCAGGATGGCTTTCATGGTCTCATCATCCGGTATCTGTCCTTGCTGCACCTTCTCAATAAGATCCGGGCTCAAGATCTTCTTCAAAGCGCTTGGGCTGTTGATGACTTGTGACATGGCCGGATTCATTGCGGCCAGCTGCTGCACCATAGGGTCTTGCTGCACAGCCTTCATCAGCATCCCAGTGTCATTGCTCAACTTCTGGATCTGCTCCTTCACGCTTCGGTTCTCAAGCTCGGTCCTTAACTGCGGGTCGATGTAAGCTGCGGAGAGCTCGCCACTCACGCCGCTCATGTCCATCATCTTCATCAACTCATTTGCTGGCATCCGGTCTCCCTGACCCAACGCCCGGAACACCTTGCCCCAAGGCTCCATGCCTGGCGGGAGGGCTCCGCCATGCGCCAAGTCCTCTAGGTTGAAGCTCTGCAGATCCGGCGTCAGAACCTCAGCGCAACATCAGAGAGCGCAAGCGATGGCTTCACGCAGACTGCACAGATGAACCTCAGCGCATGCTACACACTTGATTCAGGGCAAGCAGCTGCTTTTTGCTCCTTGGCCACCACCACTCCGGAAGGCGCGAGCGCATGCTGGAGCGCGGAGACCATGAAGGGGGAGAGGATCAAGAGCCCACGGGCCATCAGAGAGGGCGCCATTGAGAGTGCTGCCTTCAACTCGCACGCCGAGGGAGTGCTCAACGGAGTCGCGGCTAGCTGCTAGCTGATCGAGCCCGGGAGTTTCCACACAAGTGTCGAGGCAGCGGTGGCCTGCTTGAACCTGGAACCCAATAATACTCCCACTCAAAGCGCTAAACCCCGTTCAGAGCTTCGGGCATCGGGGCGGATGCCCGGTGCCAGGCGGCCCAAGTTGACTTCAACTTCTGAAAATCCTCATGCTCCTGCTGCTACTGTATTGCTGCCAAGAAAGGCAGGAAGGAATCGGGACCTTAGGCAATGTAGTACAGGGCTTGCATGACGGCGAGCAGCCAATCCGATGGCGTGGCCCTGTTGCCGAAGGTTACATGGTGCTTGCATCATTCTCAGCAATCTGCGCACTTGTTTTCATCTCTCTCAAGCCAAGATCTCATGAGCATGCATACGGCGAGATTCAGACCGGCACGTTAAGTCTGCTGCGCGCCCCTTGGGGCACCATCTTCCAAGCTACGCCGCAATTGAATGCCTGCAGGTCTAGACGACCGCCAAAGCGGGTGCTTCCAGCTGGTTGATCCCACGGAGGTCTACGTCGAAGACCAGGTCGGCCCCCGGCGGAATGGGGCCTTTGCCTGCATCTCCGTACGCCAGGGCAGCCGGGATGTGCAGCGCCGCTCGCTCTCCGAGGCTCATGTGCTTCAACGCCACCTCCCAACCACGGATAACCTGCGAGGCGCCAAGCTCGAAAGCGAACTTGCCATGGTCGAAGAGCTTGCCGTCCATCAGGTACCCCGCATACTGCACAGAGACCACGTCGCCAAGTCGGGGAAATGTCTTAGCATCACCTGCCCGCACCTGCTTCAGCCTGAGCCCATCCTCCAAAAGGAGGCTCGCAGGGCTTGCCGGCGGTGCAACGGTCATGTTGCTGGGCTTCGTGTCCAAGCTCTTGCCCACGCCAGCAGCTGAGTCCAGGATGGCTTTCATGGTCTCATCATCCGGTATCTGTCCTTGCTGCACCTTCTCAATAAGATCCGGGCTCAAGATCTTCTTCAAAGCGCTTGGGCTGTTGATGACTTGTGACATGGCCGGATTCATTGCGGCCAGCTGCTGCACCATAGGGTCTTGCTGCACAGCCTTCATCAGCATCCCAGTGTCATTGCTCAACTTCTGGATCTGCTCCTTCACGCTTCGGTTCTCAAGCTCGGTCCTTAACTGCGGGTCGATGTAAGCTGCGGAGAGCTCGCCACTCACGCCGCTCATGTCCATCATCTTCATCAACTCATTTGCTGGCATCCGGTCTCCCTGACCCAACGCCCGGAACACCTTGCTCCAAGGCTCCATGCCTGGCGGGAGGGCTCCGCCATGCGCCAAGTCCTCTAGGTTGAAGCTCTGCAGATCCGGCGTCAGAACCTCAGCGCAACATCAGAGAGCGCAAGCGATGGCTTCACGCAGACTGCACAGATGAACCTCAGCGCATGCTACACACTTGATTCAGGGCAAGCAGCTGCTTTTTGCTCCTTGGCCACCACCACTCCGGAAGGCGCGAGCGCATGCTGGAGCGCGGAGACCATGAAGGGGGAGAGGATCAAGAGCCCACGGGCCATCAGAGAGGGCGCCATTGAGAGTGCTGCCTTCAACTCGCACGCCGAGGGAGTGCTCAACGGAGTCACGGCTAGCTGCTAGCTGATCGAGCCCGGGAGTTTCCACACAAGTGTCGAGGGCGGCCCAAGTTGACTTCAACTTCTAAAATCCTCATGCTCCTGCTGCTACTGTATTGCTGCCAAGAAAGGCAGGAAGGAATCGGGACCTTAGGCAATGTAGTACAGGGCTTGCATGACGGCGAGCAGCCAATCCGATGGCGTGGCCCTGTTGCCGAAGGTTACATGGTGCTTGCATCATTCTCAGCAATCTGCGCACTTGTTTTCATCTCTCTCAAGCCAAGATCTCATGAGCATGCATACGGCGAGATTCAGACCGGCACGTTAAGTCTGCTGCGCGCCCCTTGGGGCACCATCTTCCAAGCTACGCCGCAATTGAATGCCTGCAGGTCTAGACGACCGCCAAAGCGGGTGCTTCCAGCTGGTTGATCCCACGGAGGTCTACGTCGAAGACCAGGTCGGCCCCCGGCGGAATGGGGCCTTTGCCTGCATCTCCGTACGCCAGGGCAGCCGGGATGTGCAGCGCCGCTCGCTCTCCGAGGCTCATGTGCTTCAACGCCACCTCCCAACCACGGATAACCTGCGAGGCGCCAAGCTCGAAAGCGAACTTGCCATGGTCGAAGAGCTTGCCGTCCATCAGGTACCCCGCATACTGCACAGAGACCACGTCTCCAAGTCGGGGAAATGTCTTAGCATCACCTGCCCGCACCTGCTTCAGCCTGAGCCCATCCTCCAAAAGGAGGCTCGCAGGGCTTGCCGGCGGTGCAACGGTCATGTTGCTGGGCTTCGTGTCCAAGCTCTTGCCCACGCCAGCAGCTGAGTCCAGGATGGCTTTCATGGTCTCATCATCCGGTATCTGTCCTTGCTGCACCTTCTCAATAAGATCCGGGCTCAAGATCTTCTTCAAAGCGCTTGGGCTGTTGATGACTTGTGACATGGCCGGATTCATTGCGGCCAGCTGCTGCACCATAGGGTCTTGCTGCACAGCCTTCATCAGCATCCCAGTGTCATTGCTCAACTTCTGGATCTGCTCCTTCACGCTTCGGTTCTCAAGCTCGGTCCTTAACTGCGGGTCGATGTAAGCTGCGGAGAGCTCGCCACTCACGCCGCTCATGTCCATCATCTTCATCAACTCATTTGCTGGCATCCGGTCTCCCTGACCCAACGCCCGGAACACCTTGCTCCAAGGCTCCATGCCTGGCGGGAGGGCTCCGCCATGCGCCAAGTCCTCTAGGTTGAAGCTCTGCAGATCCGGCGTCAGAACCTCAGCGCAACATCAGAGAGCGCAAGCGATGGCTTCACGCAGACTGCACAGATGAACCTCAGCGCATGCTACACACTTGATTCAGGGCAAGCAGCTGCTTTTTGCTCCTTGGCCACCACCACTCCGGAAGGCGCGAGCGCATGCTGGAGCGAGGAGACCATGAAGGGGGAGAGGATCAAGAGCCCACGGGCCATCAGAGAGGGCGCCATTGAGAGTGCTGCCTTCAACTCGCACGCCGAGGGAGTGCTCAACGGAGTCGCGGCTAGCTGCTAGCTGATCGAGCCCGGGAGTTTCCACACAAGTGTCGAGGGCGGCCCAAGTTGACTTCAACTTCTAAAATCCTCATGCTCCTGCTGCTACTGTATTGCTGCCAAGAAAGGCAGGAAGGAATCGGGACCTTAGGCAATGTAGTACAGGGCTTGCATGAGGGCGAGCAGCCAATCCGATGGCGTGGCCCTGTTGCCGAAGGTTACATGGTGCTTGCATCATTCTCAGCAATCTGCGCACTTGTTTTCATCTCTCTCAAGCCAAGATCTCATGAGCATGCATACGGCGAGATTCAGACCGGCACGTTAAGTCTGCTGCGCGCCCCTTGGGGCACCATCTTCCAAGCTACGCCGCAATTGAATGCCTGCAGGTCTAGACGACCGCCAAAGCGGGTGCTTCCAGCTGGTTGATCCCACGGAGGTCTACGTCGAAGACCAGGTCGGCCCCCGGCGGAATGGGGCCTTTACCTGCATCTCCGTACGCCAGGGCAGCCGGGATGTGCAGCGCCGCTCGCTCTCCGAGGCTCATGTGCTTCAACGCCACCTCCCAACCACGGATAACCTGCGAGGCGCCAAGCTCGAAAGCGAACTTGCCATGGTCGAAGAGCTTGCCGTCCATCAAGTACCCCGCATACTGCACAGAGACCACGTCGCCAAGTCGGGGAAATGTCTTAGCATCACCTGCCCGCACCTGCTTCAGCCTGAGCCCATCCTCCAAAAGGAGGCTCGCAGGGCTTGCCGGCGGTGCAACGGTCATGTTGCTGGGCTTCGTGTCCAAGCTCTTGCCCACGCCAGCAGCTGAGTCCAGGATGGCTTTCATGGTCTCATCATCCGGTATCTGTCCTTGCTGCACCTTCTCAATAAGATCCGGGCTCAAGATCTTCTTCAAAGCGCTTGGGCTGTTGATGACTTGTGACATGGCCGGATTCATTGCGGCCAGCTGCTGCACCATAGGGTCTTGCTGCACAGCCTTCATCAGCATCCCAGTGTCATTGCTCAACTTCTGGATCTGTTCCTTCACGCTTCGGTTCTCAAGCTCGGTCCTTAACTGCGGGTCGATGTAAGCTGCGGAGAGCTCGCCACTCACGCCGCTCATGTCCATCATCTTCATCAACTCATTTGCTGGCATCCGGTCTCCCTGACCCAACGCCCGGAACACCTTGCTCCAAGGCTCCATGCCTGGCGGGAGGGCTCCGCCATGCGCCAAGTCCTCTAGGTTGAAGCTCTGCAGATCCGGCGTCAGAACCTCGGCGCAACATCAGAGAGCGCAAGCGATGGTTTCACGCAGACTGCACAGATGAACCTCAGCACATGCTGCACACTTGATTCAGGGCAAGCAGCTGCTTTTTGCTCCTTGGCCACCACCACTCCGGAAGGCGCGAGCGCATGCTGGAGCGAGGAGACCATGAAGGGGGAGAGGATCAAGAGCCCACGGGCCATCAGAGAGGGCGCCATTGAGAGTGCTGCCTTCAACTCGCACGCCGAGGGAGTGCTCAACGGAGTCGCGGCTAGCTGCTTCGAGCCCAATGACAGAGTTCCCAATCGTGAACGCCGACTCCGCCCCCCCAACCAAATACTCTCTTGTGCCGAGACGCATCTAGCAGAACCACTGGCAGCATCGACACCTGCAGGTGGGAAATGGCTTGGGGGGATTTAGGGCTTTGGGGAGGCATCTCTTTGGGGAGGGGAGGGGGAGGGGAGAGTCGGAGGAAAGCAAAGAACTACCAGCAAGCCCCGTGCGCCTCCTCCATGCGATTGATGGTGCCCTGCCGAGTCACAGGTGGACATTTGTATTTCTTGCAGCGTACCTACAATCTCATTCTCGTGCCTCGCGACCGACATCGATTAAGGCCCCTAAGCCCTTAAGCCCCTCGCAGCCCAACAAGCCCTAAGACCCTGCAAACCCTGAAGTCTTACCAAATATACATGTATGAAACAGGTATACATAAATACATGCATACTTGTCATAGATGTGCCTATTTTAAATACATATGCATGCACGTACACATATCCATATACTGTTTTTTGCATCCGATGTACAGATCCACCTATATCAGACACTTTTTGAGGCCCAACCCCAACACTGACGTAGGGAGCCTTGGCCGTGTGCTCGATGAGCATCTTGTGGAGGGGCTTGAACCTCGCATCCTCGGATGTCGCATGTGGGGGGGGGGGGGGGGGCAAACACCCCAACCTCCCCGAAACGCTTCAACTCGTGCAGAATTCGCGCAAGATGGGAGCATGAGTCCATGAGCATATGCTCTGTGATTCGCTTCGCCTGCGCAAGGACCATGTTCCTGCAAAAAGTCCACAAAACCTGAACCCTGAACCCTAAATCTCACGGAAAAAGATGTAGGTCGGTCATAGTTCCGCTCCCCCTTGCTCAAGCCCCAAAGCGTCCTTCCGCAGCACCGTCTTGGGGATGTCCACCTGGGTTCTCAAAATGCAGGTCAGTAGTCAGCAGAGCCGGCACGAGCCGGCGATGCACGTTGCATGTTCGTGACTGCTCCGACTCAGCGCGTTAGCTGGCCCCAAATTGCATTGGTATTCCCCTCACATCCTGCAAAGAGCATGTTCGAGCCCAATGCCGTGTACAAATTCGTACAAATTCTCTTGGGCAGGGCACGCGCCACCCCAGCTCGTCAGGCATCCACGGCAGAGGCCGTACGCACAGCCTCCACTAGTTTGTGTGCCCGAATTCCTGTGCCCTTAACTCTAAGCCCTACATGGCCGTTTCAGACGCTGGGTAACCCAGGGTTTGAGTCTGCATTCCAGGTTCAGGATGCGAGCTCTCCCTCAGGAACCCAGAACTCTGCTTCTTGCATGCTGCCTGCTACCTGCTGAGTTACGACACACAACCCAGGAGTAATGGGGATTGTGGGCCCCCAAACTCCCAAAACCCTACGCCCCAGTGCAGTGCCTTTGGGGGTCCGGAAGGTGGCTTACCGACACCCTAAAACCCTAAACCCTAAACCCTAAACCCTAAACCCTAAACCCTCAACCTAAACCGTAAAACCGTAAAACCCTAAACCCTAAACCCTCAGTGGTTTTGGGGGTTCTGAAGGTGGCTTCGCTCCCCAGCAGCCTTGGCTCCGACTCCCCGCCGTCGGTGTCCGAGTTGGCGGCGGCTGTGCGAAACTGCTGCAGGGCGCCTCGGTCAAGAACACACGGGGCTCAGGGGCTTCTTTCTTTTCTTGTATAAATAAATAAATATATATATATATATATGAATATGAATTTGAATATGTGTTTTTTTTTTGTTTTTTTTTTTTTGGGGGGGGGGGGGTGCGAGTCGGGGTTGGGTTGGGGCTTGAAGATTTCTTGTTTTTGTTTTTGTTCTTGGTTTTTTGTTCGGGGGGGGAAGGGGGAGAAGGGGGTGTTCTTGAATTGGGCTTGCTCTGGTCTAAAAGACGAACCTGGGCCTACTTGCAGATTCCACAAGCTGCACACACGCAGGGTTTTGAAGAACACCCTGCAACAAACGACCTCGTGCGGCCCAAAAACTGCGAACTTTGGCTGCGTCCCGGTCCGTAGGTGTGACCCACAGTGTGGAAGGAAGAGGCTGGCGCAGACCTTGTGCAGTGCAAGGCAGACAGTCTGGTGAAAGGACCCGTATGCAGTTTAAGGTGCATAATAAGGGCCGGGGCGGGGTGGGGCGTCGCAGGGTGTTTTCAGAGTGCCCCAATCTGCACTCTAAGATCGACACTGTCCAGGAACGCCTCCCAGTCAGCACCCTCCTGGGGAGTTCAGGGGCAAGAAGCCGCAACCCCCCCCCCCGAAGGCCAACGCCTCACTTGTAACTACAAAAGTTTCTCACTTGTGACTTTAGGGGGCTATAAACTATGAATTTGGCTCACTTCCGAGTATAACCAGGAGGGCTTGATAAAAGTGTGGTGCTCATGGGAGGGGCCGGGAGGGGGGAGGGGAGGGTGCTGGGGTGGATAATAACGTGATCACATCACACATCACACCGGAGCATCAAGCAATGAAGTGGTTCGTTTACATGTGTCCATCCAGTTTCCAACACTCCCAACGAGCCAGAAAGGCATGAAGATTTCAGAGCCCTATGCAGGGCTTTGGCTGTGAACAACGCCAAGAAAGGTACAAACGAGCATGACGCATTTTGATCCTTATGCAGGGTTTTGGCTCTGAACAACAACGAGCAGAACGAATTCAGAGCCCTATGCAGGGTTTTGGCTGTGAACAACGAAAGAAAACAAGCGAAACAAGCGACAGAAAGCAAGAAAAACACAAGCGAGCCCAAAATAGTCACCAGCGAGTAAGGACCCCACCTCAAAGGACCTGCGAACTGGCAACTCAAACTCTAACCCTACTTGAAGGTTGGGTAGTTATAAGTGGGGTTATACGTAGGGCAACTATACGTACCTCCAAGTAAGCTGCCCGAACCCTAGCAGACCCTGGATAAACCCTTAAACGCTGAGCCCCTAAATCCTAAACCCTAAACCCTAAACCCTAAACCCTAAACCCTAAACCCTAAACCCTAAGCCCAAACCCTGAACTAAACCCTAAACCCTAAAACCTAACCCTAAACCCTAAACCCCTAAACCCCTAAACCACTCAACCGCAATCTGCAGCCACCACCCCCCGCGCTCTCGTCCCGGCCTGGATGAGCCCGCCTTCCACCTTAGGGGGGTGCAAGTTCCGCTTGGGTTTGGGGTATAAGGTTTAGGGTGTAGGGTCTAGAGTTTAGGGTTTAGGGTTTAGGGTTTAGGGTTTTGGGGTCTCGGGTTCAGGATCTAGGGATGCCGCCGCGGGGTGGGGAAAGTCACATGCTCCAGTCGACTGGGTGTGGGAGACTTGGAGACCAGCCGTACTCCAGCAGATAACAGATTCATGGTAGAATACATGTATACTAAGTATACTGCTGTAGTATATCGTATACTATGAAGTAGCTTGTCAGCTGGTCAAGTGAACCGAGAATCCCAATGAAGTTTTCCTTTTGTACTGACTTCAATGACTAACGCAGCATCTCATGATTAGGACCTGTACCACGAACCTGTCTCTCGCAACAGTCTAATTACATTCTAAACTCAACTCTGCGGTTAACGACACTTTCGACTGTTGCATCTCAAGGATAGGAATGGCCGTTACTGAAGGACCTAATACTGTAGCGCTTGAACGTTTGACTGCGACAAGCCACTTGTCCCTGTGATAAATTTTCTGATTATCTGTTTCCAGGAGTGAAGTCCAGGATGTGTATGGCTCCTCTTTGGGACCCCGCTCTTGATTTAAGACTTTCGCCTTTAAACCTAATAAACCTTCCAGGGACTTCGTACTGCCGGGGCTGAGATGCGATACTGAGCCCGGAACCAAGTTGGCGAAGTAGAAACTCTCGAAGGCTCCATTGCGCTGTCGCGGAGGACTCCCAGATGGCCTTGGCAAGCGCCACGCTGCATTCCATCACGCAGAAAGCCGCGGATTGCGATGACACAACCACTGCTTCTCTCCTTCCACTTCGCTCAGCACGGCCATGAAAACATATTAAAACTATAACAGCACCGCAGCTGGCTTTCTTGTACAAGTTGCTCAGTCTTTAGGGCTTGCGCACAAGCGTCCTTTGCACGAGCCAACGCGAGAATCGGGAACGTTGAGTGGAAGAGCAGGTGGCCCCTAGAAGAGGGCTCTCTACAAAAGAGTAAGTTCGGGCAGCTTGTTCTGGTGCCTGCGCTGGGAATCTGGCCCTGCGCCCGGCTGCGATTCACCTCGTCTTAGGAGAGGTGTTGGGACGCTTTTGGGGCTCTGCTCAGGATACAGTCCGCGCCATGGTGAGGGGTTTGGAATACGGCCCTAGGTGGGTCAAGAACGCGCCTGCCATCGTGCTCCAACCTTGCATACTACCCACACATGAAACATTTCAGCGTAGATGCACGCCGCGATACCAGCTCATCAAACATCTCATGTTGGGATGTTCCCCTTTATACTAACAGTCCTTAATAAAAATACAGTACCCCCCTACTATCCCCTACTATTATCCCTATTAAGTTGTTAAGGGCTGTTTGTCTAAGGGGGAAGATCTCAGGTCTCATGGTTGATGGTGCAGCCATGCAGCTTTGCTCCGTCTCAGCGCACATCAGGTCAGATCAGCGGCAACGCGCTGTTGCCATGATACGGGTGATGATGTGCAGAACCATAAGCTACAAAGCCCGCGAAGGTTACTTGCTGTACCGGGATGGGTACAAGGACCCGGAACCAAAGCTACGTAGTCAACTCTCTTTCTTTCCCTCTCTCTTTGGGTGTATGTCGGTCTAGGCATATGCATATGCATCTGAGTGCAGACGTGTATTTTCAGAGGGGCACCTCCCAGATTTTAAAGGCATGACCACGTGAGCCGAGGAAGCCTGATCCTGCTGCTGGAAGCTCCTAGCTCCTTTGAAGTGGGCGGCTCTCTAAGTGATGGTCCCTTTTGGGGTTCCTCTTCCGATACAGAGCCCAGCATGTAAGGGTAGCCACAAGAGCGGGACCATAACCTAGATGTCAACTTGCCACAAGACCCCTGGTTCGATTTGGACTTCAGCCCTGTGAGGCATGGGGATGTATTCGTCTCTTTCAAGCATTCCCCCTGAGGGCAGATCACCAGGTACATCCTCGAAAACGTTCACCTGCGTTGCTTCAGCATGCGAACTCTATGGGCCTTGCACACCTTCTAGACTCAAGCCTGGGGATGTTCCCCCTATACTCACAGTCCTTCGTAGGGGGGGGGGGGTACTATAATCCCTATTCCTGCTAGTATAAGGGGGGAGTATCCCAAATCTAGCCTTATGTAGCGGTACTCTCCCGTAAAGTTAGGGGATAGGATTAGGGGGACCCTTGGGGATATAGACCCTCTGAATAAGGTCCCTGTGTAAGAGAGCCAGAAGAGGGCCAAGAAGGGTTCCCGTTTAAGGGTCCCTAAACCCCAAACCCTAAACCCTACACCCTACACCCTACACCCTAAACCCTAAACCCTAAACCGACCCTAAACCCTAAACCCTAAACCCCTTATCCTACCTAGGACAAGTGCGGGTTTCGGATCCTTTTCGCGCCAAGCGCCTCGAGCAGCTTCCCCGGCCGCGCTCGCAAAGGGACCGCGGGGGGGGCAAGGGCTGCCAAGGGCGTTTGAGCCCCCCAGCTCTTCGTCAAAGGGTTCAGGGTTCAGGGTTCAGGGCTTAGGGTTCAGGGTTCAGGGTTCAGGGTTGAGGGCTCAGGGTTTGGTACCTGTAGCAGGTGGCCCGAGCCAGCACTCTAGGATTTCAATCCCTGAATTCTTCCGAAGGACCGAAAGAGTAGGGGTTTCTGTAAGGCAGCAGGGGCTCTGCATCAGGGCGAGATGTGTGGCACCAGTTGAGATGGTCCTTGTCAGGGGGTGCATCCCATGTCCTATGAAGTGTTGCATTACAGTATGGACTCCTTTCGTAGAGCCAGGCGGCTGTGGAAAGGATGGGGTGGCCACTGGGAATCAACTGACACCTCGGGCTCTAAGCGTCGAAACAGGGAGACATTGGCTGCACTTACACCGCTCCTTCCAGGACGCACTGGAAGATCACTCTGCATCACCCCAGCCCGATCATTGAAATGCGCAAATCTCTGTTCATTGCCTCGCGAAGCAGCTTGTCCACCCAAAAAAGGGGGCAGTGCCTGCAAGCCAACGATGGGAAGCCTGCCCGGCGCAGTTCGCCTTGCGCAGGCTCTGTAGGGGCTATAGGAGCTCACCTTAGAGGAACACTACAAACTACAAGTCGACGGCACATTGGCCATCGATCCGACGCGCGCGCTTGCCGCGCATAAGCCATCGGCTTTGGCTGACTTCAAAACCTCTGGATAAAGAGCCCAGGCCCTCGATGCCCTTTGGAGCCTCCAACCCTATAACCCCCCCCAAACCCTCTGAAACCCCCAAGCCCCCTAAACCCTAAGACCCTAAAGGCCCTAAACCCTAAACCCTTCAGCATCACGACGTCCACGTGGTGTGGGGATGCGGCGCAGCCCCCTGCCTTGCTGGGGAGCATCATGGGCCAGCGTTCTCTAAGTCTAGGGTGGGGGGATTTGGGTCGAGGGTCGGGGGTTTAGGGTTTGGTCACCCTTTTGTAGAGCTTAGGGTTTGGATGGGGTTTAGGTTCTCCTCTGAGGAACTTCATATCAGGGAGCTTTGACGAAGAGACCCGTACTATCTTGGTAGCCCAACAAGCGTATTCTGATAAGGCTACCCTTTTGGGTGTTTCTTCGCAAGGGAAGCCAGAACCCGCAAAGGCAGAAGGGGGCAGCACCGTGGCGGTGGCCTACCAAGTGAAAGAAAGCCTCCAAAAGCCTCCAACGGCCCCGTGATGAACCATGAACCCCTAAGGCTGAACTACTATTTGCTTAACCCCCCCCCTCCAAAAAATTAAAAATAGAATGATGCATCCCTATATTGCCCTTACAAGGAAGAATACTATTATTGGCTTTTTGTTTTTGGAGGGGGTTCTTAAGCAAATAGTAGTGAACCGAGGCCCCCCACGTCAGGCAAGGCGTCTCCCTCTTAGCCCGCGGCTGCGTTTGAGGGGGCTCCGTGTGGAGGTGCGCGACTCCGTGGATCGCGGGCGCCTTCTCAGGGCTTTTGGGGGGGGGGTGTAGGGTTTAGGCTGGAGGGTTGAGGGTTGAAGGTTTAGGGTTTGGGGGGTTCCCTAAATGACCTTAAGAGCATGACTACACCCTCCCGTAAGCCCTGAACCCCCCAAAGTCCCCAACCCCCCAACCCCCCAAAACCCCCCTAAACCCCTGCATCTCCAAGCGCAAGCCAACATGAACCTCACCGGGCCTCCTCGGCCACACCGCTTTGGGCGGGCCTCAACTCCGACCTCGCGGGAATCGCGGGAGGGTCGAAGGCCTGGGGTTTAGGGTTTGGGACATGACAAAAGCTCCATGGGTATTGAGCATGCAAGGACTCTATCTTGTTGCTTTGCACATGTTACTGTCTTTTTTGAGATTGATCTAGATTCTAGATCGTACCCTAAACGAAATGGAGGCCTCAAACAGGCCTGTACTCCGGATCCCTGAACCCACCCACCCAACCCACACTACGCACCCACCCACCCACCCACCCACCCACCCACCACCCACCCACCACCCACCCACCACCCACCACCCACCCACCCACCTACCCACCCACGCACACGTGCTCTTCTTTTTGCAGGTTCAAGTGCGAAATCGTCTTCCAGGTGTGGAGGTCTATCATACAATTGGCATCGTTATGAAGATGATCATTCTTATATAGTAGTAGCCGTTCCACCCTCTTTAGTAGGGCCCCCCCCCTATAAAGTCAAATTTGCCGGACCGTGTGACTGCTTGAAAGTGCCCAGTGGGATCCGCCATTAAGGCAATTCGTGTGTGGCACGCCTTTAAAATCAACGTTGCTCCTTTAGATTCACACACACGGTGCGCAGGGAGTTTACAGGAGTCTGTCTACAGTAGCGAAGAGAAGTTCCTGGCGCTGCTGCGAGAAGGACCACCGTATTGGGCCCAAGATCGGAGGCATGAAGCGCTGGCCAGCGCAGGCGCGTTTCAAGATGCTCTCCTGCTCCTCAAAGCCCTAAACCTTAAACCCTAAAACCCAAACTCCCCCATCCCCCGCCTGCGCTGGGCTAGGGCGCCCTCCACCTGTGGAGACACTGCCGCCCAGGCCCTCAGCGTTCTACAGCGAGGAGCCCTACGGTGGCCCGTTGAAAGCCTTACAACCAGAGGGTTTAGGGTTTAGGGTTTAGGGTTTAGGGTTTAGGGCTTAGGGTTTAGGGTTCAGGGTTTAGGGTTTAGGGTTTAGGGCTTAGGGCTTGTGTTATAGAGCCAAAGGGCAACAGCAACCTGTGTGCCAGGCATGCAAAAAGCTGGAATCTCCAGCTCCAGGCGCGCTTTTGGCCCGCGAAAGTGCGCCAGGGGATGCTGGCGGCCTTCGAAACGAAGGGACGCTGTGTGGTGGCTCTACCTACACATAGAGCCAAAAGGCCACAGAAACCTCTGTGCCAGGCGTACGAAAAGCTGGAATCTCCAGCTCCAGGCGCGCTTTTGGCCCGCGAAAGTGTGCCAGGGGATGCTCTACGGTGTTGTAGAGCCGAAGGGCAACAGAAACCTTTGTGCCAGGCCTGGGCCTGCAAACCCTGCGCTTCTTTTCGACTTGACCCTAACGATTTACGTGACTTCCGACGTCATTCACTACATAGGTTCCGACGTAATGCCCTACATACTTTTACATATCCTCAGTTAAAGAGGCTGATATCTGGTATAATCCCTAGATAACTATACGATAAGGACCCCCCCCAAAAACCTGTTCAAATTATTCAGGCCCCTCGAAGGCCGCCAGCATCCCCTGGCGCACTTTCGCGGGCCAAAAGCGCGCCTGGAGCTGGAGATTCCAGCTTTTCGCATGCCTGGCGCAAAGGTTTCTGTTGCCCTTTGGCTCAATAACGCCGTAGAGCATCCCTTCGTTTCGAAGGCCGCCAGCATTCTTTGGCGCACTTTCGCGGGCCAAAAGATTCTTAGACTATGGGTAAAACGTAGCACCCATGGAATTTGTTGATTAGAGAAAAGTAGTTTCAGAACTCGTTGTGTCGAAGAACCAAAGTCTCGACTTTCAGAGGAAAGTAAAATTGTTTCTTCATAGACCACCTCCTGTTTCATCTGGAATAACCACATACTTCCATTTATGCCACGATGATCACGATGTTGTAAAGCATTCATATGGTTACATTGCAGTTGCTATATGGTGCTTTTTTGGGTGGCTGCAAAACGGTTTTAAACGGTTTTGGGGCACCGTAAATGGGGTCAAAAATCCAAAACTATTCAAAACTATTAAAAACGGTTTTAACACGGTTTTGCCGGCGCACTGGGGCGCTCCAAAACGGTTTTAAACGGTTTTGGGGCAACCCTTTTTGTACTCTTCAAGATACACGAAAAGTGGCTCCGCAGCCAAGTTTCACCAGCCTAGAGCAACACACCTGCATAAACCCTAAACCCTAAACGACGTAAACCCTGAAACCCAGCCCCGAAGCGCAAGCCCTCCAACCAACCTTTTTAATGACCACCGCCAGGCGATGGTCATTAAACCCTAAACCCTTTCCCTTTTAAGGTGGGTTTAGGGGGTTTAAGGGTTCAGGGTTGGAGGACCTAACCCCTAAAGCCTAAGCAGCCGCACCGCGGCCGACATGGAGCAACAGTGCTTAAACCTAAGCCGCTTAGCCCAAAATTCCTAAACCCGAGACCTAAACCCAAGGTTGGCTAAGAGCCCTGACACTGTTTAATGACCACCGTCAGGCGATCCTAGAAGCCTAAACCCCAAAACACCTAGAAACCCCAAACCCCAGCCCCGAAGCGTAGGCCCTCCAACCTTGTTAATGACCACCGCCAGGCGATGGCCATTAAACCCTAAACCCGAGCCCCAAACCCGAGATCTAAACCCAAGGTTGTCTAAGAGCCCTGAAACCCTGTTTAATGGCCACCGCCAGGCGATGGGGCAACCCTTTTTGTACTCTTCAAGATACACGAAAAGTGGCTCCGCAGCCAAGTTTCACCAGCCTAGAGCAACACACCTGCATAAACCCTAAACCCTAAACGACGTAAACCCTGAAACCCAGCCCCGAAGCGCAAGCCCTCCAACCAACCTTTTTAATGACCACCGCCAGGCGATGGTCATTAAACCCTAAACCCTTTCCCTTTTAAGGTGGGTTTAGGGGGTTTAAGGGTTCAGGGTTGGAGGACCTAACCCCTAAAGCCTAAGCAGCCGCACCGCGGCCGACATGGAGCAACAGTGCTTAAACCTAAGCCGCTTAGCCCAAAATTCCTAAACCCGAGACCTAAACCCAAGGTTGGCTAAGAGCCCTGACACTGTTTAATGACCACCGTCAGGCGATCCTAGAAGCCTAAACCCCAAAACACCTAGAAACCCTAAACCCCAGCCCCGAAGCGCAGGCCCTCCAACCTTGTTAATGACCACCGCCAGGCGATGGCCATTAAACCCTAAACCCGAGCCCCAAACCCGAGATCTAAACCCAAGGTTGTCTAAGAGCCCTGACACCCTGTTTAATGGCCACTGCCAGGCGATGGCCATTAAACGCCTAAACCCTAAACCCTTTTGTTTAATAACCACCGCCAGGCGATGGCCATGAAACGCCTAAACCCCAAACCCTTTTGTTTAATGACCACCGCCAGGCGATTGTCATTAAACCCTCAACCCTCAACCCTCAACCCTGTGTTTAATGGGCGCCCCAGAGCGGCCATTAAACTCCTAAATTGCAGCACCACCCCTCCCCCCCCCACCCCCCACTCCGGGCCTAAGGCGTAAAAACCAAGCGATTTTGTATCAATTGGCTCCTGTAAGCAATCACGAAAAGGTTCACGCAAATTTTCTATAACACAAAGTTTTGTGTGATAGAAAATTTACGTGAATCTTTACGTGATTGCTTACAGGAGCCAATTCATTTACGTGAACATTTACGCGATTCCCTACGTGACTTCCGACGCCAATTTGCTTGCCTGACATTTGCCCCAACTTAAAAAGGCTGATATCTGGTATAATCTAGGGACCTTAAGGGAATACATCACATCATTATGGCACCCTTTTGGGTGTGTTGCTTCGCCTTAATGGAGCCAGCGTCCCCGAACCCCAAAGGGATGGGCTTCCGAAGTGTCAGTATAGTGTGTAGTGATGACATCCTGTATACACACACACACACAGAGGAAAACCAGGCACGGCGTGAACAAAAACCACAATCACGACAAGCCAACCCCAAATAGCTGCCCTGACCATTGAAGTCCAAGCGTCCGACATGCAAAGATTTCTCGACGTCACTCCTCACAAAAATGCAACCTCGAAGCCCTAACCCCCCCGCTGGCGTGGCAAGTGGCTGGCTGCTGCTCGCAGCGTTGCACGTTAGCAAGCGCCTGGGCTACATGGGCTTTGCCGGCCTGGGCCCCCAAATGCCCAAACCCCCTCTTCACTAAGGAGCCTGAAAAGAGTATACCGGCTAGTGGACGTGTGCCATGTACCCCTGAGGCTTTCGAATGAACTACCCTGAACACAAAACCCTAATACATACTTAGCTGCCCCGAGACCCTGGGGGTTTAGGGCTTGGAAAACTCAGCACAAGAACCCCCACATAGTTTCGGGCATTCTCCTGAATGAAGGGGGAGTTGGGCACTCTTGGTGCGAGCCTCACTCGACATGCCTAGTCACAGTTCTGCCAGCCCATGTTCTAGACATACCCTGCCATACACCCTAAGACCCTCTGCCCCGCCTGCCTTTTCTCCAAGACTCACCCGCAAGCCTCCCAACTACGTTGAGATAGTTGTCGAGAACCCTACCTGTTTGAGGGAAGTTGTGTACCGTGAACGTTGTGCCCAAGAATGCTATCCTTTTTTTGCCCGAGCCCCACGTGCCAATCCGATAAGCTCCTAACTCCAACCCTCCTAAAATCAAACCCCTACCCCCTGAACCCTATGAACCCTTCTGACCCTAAAACCCTGAACCCTATGAACCCTTATGGCCTATGACAAACACCAAACACAAGAAGAGACTGAAGAACACCCAGGCCAAATATCAAACACCAGCGGAACCCCTGAGGCCCTCTTAGGGTAGTAGCAAGGGCCCTTGGTATGGACCCTTCTTATCGGGAACCTCCTATACACCCTAGAAAACCTGCACAACCATATGCACACAAATAATGTAACTGCCCTTAGAAGCTTTAGGGCTTAAGGCTTAGGATCTCCTCTCCATCCGGGTCCCTCGCAGGCGCCCCCCCTCGGTTTTGCCGGTGCCCACAGCACCGAGACAAGCACCGTCCTCGTGGGTTTCGGGCTCCAGGCCTAAACCCTCATCCCTCAGCCAAAAACCCTACATCCTGAACCTGACTACTAAACCCCAATCCCTAAACAGGTGGGAACGTGCAATGGCATCCCTTGCCAGGAGCCAGAAGAGGCATCGGTACCGAAGTGCCACGAGAAAGTCTTCGAGCTTTGGGCCGGCGTTTTAGAGCGTATTTGTTTCAGGATTTAAGGCTCAGGGTTTTTGGATCCTTCATGGCTAAGCTCTTTGGCCAAGAAGTTGCTAGAGGCACCTGCCAGACCAAACCAAATGCTTCGGAGTTTGGGGATTTCGGGGGGCCTGCGCCCCCAACACCCGAAGCGGTCCTCTTTGGACGATATGACGCCGTTTGACTGGTCAAAAAGCCACAGCCTTAGGAACATGAGATCGGAATGCGCTGGCAACCGGCGATGAAAGAAGATGGTCAGTAGTGGAGATTCTACGTCTCATCAGAATCATAATCATAATAGTATTGATAATGATTGTGGTAGTAATCAGCATAACTAACAATAAAGAATACTATGATCATTATAACAACAATAACAATAACAATACTGCAAATTCCCTAACCCCTTAAAATATGCCTGAAGCTGTGCCAGGCGTTTCTGATGGACGGATTAAATTAGGAGTGGCGATGCCCCCGAAACCCTAACCCCTAAACCCTAAGTCCAGCCATGGAGCTGGCGAAAGTCGCTCGTGTTGCAGTCTTCCATCACCACCTCATGCAAGGACTCCGAGTGAGGTACGAGTACCCAAATCATAAGGGCACCCTATTGTTCTTCCTGTTTCCGGGCGGTTTGCTCTGTTACAAACACCATATCCCCTAAGCCCTCGCGTTTGGGATAGAGTTTTTGGGGTAGAACCCGAACTTTCCCGCAGCTAGATATGCAACTGCAAGGGCGGTACCAACCTAGAATGTTGAGCTCTTCCGTTTCGGGATGAGTGAATAGATCGGTTCCTCGATGCCTGGGGGTTGATCGAAATCATGGGCCTGTGCCTGGCTGCGGTTGCGTGTTTAGAGCTTAGGATTTGGGGGTTTAAAGGGTTGAGGGTTTAGCGTTTTCGGTCCTACAAGAACCAAAAAGCCTGAGAATCCCCTCAAAACCCCCAAACCCCAAGGCTACGTCCGGCCTCAAGATCCGAGCTTGGGTACTTTATGACCCCATCATAACTGTGCTTACAAGGCCCCCAAGCCCTCCAGGCAGGCTTAAGTAGACGAACAAATGGGGATATAACTACCCATGAAAGGCTCTGGCCCTGAGTCGCAGGCCGTAGCGAGAGCTCGGCAGTGGTACCCCTTTGCCGAAACGCTGGCGCCCACCTGCCATTGCTTCGGGCCCCAAGGAGCTGTCCGACAGGCCCCCTTTGACATCCCCGCCGACCCTAAACCCTAGCCCCCCCCCTTCCTCCAAGAAACTCTGAGCACCCGACAGGTTTAAGCCAAAGTTCGCAGCGCCCGAACTTGTGGTACTCGAAACCTGGTGGGGCTCAGGACGACTCCCCTTGGCCCCTTTGCTCCATGAATTCATGAAGGTGATTATCAAGGTTATTGATTTTGAAACTGTAGCCATCTCAGCCCCTCATTCTAACCTCAAGGCCACACCCCCACGCGCCACCTCACATCACCATGCTTCCATGATCTCACGAAGGCCTGCACCGAATTTCGCTGCTCCCCACAGGCCTGTGCAGTAGCCGGTGGCCATGGAGCACTGCCGTTGGCAGTCCTGTTGTGGGCCCATCCCTGCTTTCCCAAACCTCAATCTCCCAAATCTCGACTTGCAAACCGTGCATGACAGATCCGGCGCCATCTTCAGGAGATCGCATCCTAGATGAGGGGCAGAGCGCAAGAACAACTGAGCACGCCATGACTTGGGCCTGAAAACGTCCATCGCGGATGCCTCAAAACCTAATCCCTGAACCCTAAACCCCCCAGAGTCCTCCTTCGACTCCGCGACAGTCACCTTGAAATAGGATGCCTGGTTGTCGCCTCCAACAGATGCGTGGCTGTTGGAGCCCTAAATTGAGTTACCGCAAGCAAGCCCTACTCCCTACACCCTAAACATGCCAAATATATATGTTACGGCCACTTATCTACCCGTGGTCTACAGCGACTTGTGTGTATGAGCGGCCACGACCCTAATCCCTAAACTCGCAACCCTAACCCCCAACAAGGGCCTGGAGACTCCCCGCGACAGACCCGGTCGGAGCCGCCATCTACCGGCTCGAAGATCGCCAGCGTGGGGTCTTCCTGCCAGATTGGGGGCTCAGTTGGCTTAGGCCTTGGGTTTAGGGTTTAGGGTTAGGGTTTAGGGCTTAAGGTTTAGGAGTTAGGTTGAGGGCTTAGGGTTTAGATGGGTTTCATGGGTTTAGGGCTTAGGGCTGAGAGCTCTGGGCCTGAGCTTGGGGCTCTGGAGACCACGGAAATCGAAAAGGAAGCCTTGGAGTTCCTGATCTTCTTGGGCTTCATCTGCGCAAAGTTTAGGGTTTAGGGTTTAGAGTTTAGGGTTTCGGGTTTAGGGTTTAGGCTTTGGGCTTTGGGGTTTGGGGTTTGGGGTTGAGGGTTGAGGGTTTCCTTGCCTTCGGAGGAGTACCTTGAGTTGAGGGCAGATCACCAGACCCTAAACACCAAGCTGCTGGAACCCTAAGCCCGACATAGCCTAAGGCCAGCTCCCCCCCCCCAACACCCCCCCCAAAACCCTAAACCCTAAACCCCAAACCCTAAACACCAACCCCAAACCTGGAATCCCTGGGGCTGGGGCCAGCGAGGCCGTGTAGCAGGTGAAGTTGGAAGCAATCACGCCGGTCTGTACCTGGGGGGGCGGGGGAGGAATCTTTGGGGTTCAGGTTTTGGTTTAGGGTTTAGGGTTCAGGGTGCGTAGGGTTTCGGAATCTATGGGGTTCAGGTTTTGGTGTAGGGTTTAAGGAAAATTCCAGGGTCTTTGAGGTTTAGGGGGGAAGCGCGAAGACAACAAACCAAGCAGGACTTCAGTGACAGGTAAACGTGTTCAATCTGTACTTCATTTTTTTGGGGGGGGGTTGGGGGGGGCAGGGGGGGGAGGGAGGGAGGGGCGGATTGTTAATGCATCTTCGGGAGGCCCTACAGGTTTTCGCGAAATGGGGGGGTTTCCGACATTAAGGGGTACCTTGTTGGGTCCTTATGACAAGGGGATCCTACTGTTTGGGGATCTATCTTGGGGGTCCCCCATCCTCGTAAACCCCTGCAGATTAAACTTAAACCCCTAAGCCTCAACTCCATGTCCATGCTTCCCTAAGCCCTAAGCCCTAAGCCCTAAGCCCTAAGTCCTAAGCCCTAAGCCCTAAGCCCTAAGCCCTAAGCCCTAAGCCCTAAGCCCTAAGCCCGAAGCCCTAAGCCCTAAGCCCTATGTCTTACGCCCCAAACCCTAAGCCCTGGCCCAAACCCTAAGCCCCAAACCCTAAACCCCGAACCCCAAACCCTAAACCCCAAACTCTAAACCCTAAGACCAGGCCAAAACTTCTGTCTGCGGATTGCGGCCCATGGCCAGGCCTGTGCTATCGGGCACACGTCTAGCGTTCAGGGCTTGAGCTGAAGACCCCCAGAAACCCTAAAGCCTCCGGAACGTCTAGCGTTCAGGACCCTGAGCCCTGAACCCTTGCATCCGAAGTCCCAAAACCCTAAACCCTAAACCCCAAACCCTAAACCCCAAAATCTGCAACCCCCCGCGCTGCCACCTGAGGCCCCGGGCAGCTTTGGTCCAAACCTCGCAGCGCCTCATCTTGGGATTGAACTCGATGCCCATGCAGGAGGCCCTGTCAGGCCGGTTTTAGGGGGTTAGGGTTTAGTGTTTAGGGGTTTAGGGGTTTAGGGCTTAGGGATTAGGGCAGGAGGGTTGTGGGGCTGTGGGGCTTTGTGGGCTGCAGGGGTTGTAGGGTTGCGGGCTTGGGTTGTGGGGGAGCCCGTGGTCCACGTGGGTCTTGGGTTACGGCTCCCTAATGGGAGTCCATATATAAGTGGACCCCGTGTTTGGGGTTTAGGGCTTACGGAGGCTCTGGGAAAAGTCTGAGCAAGTGCAGCAATTTCTTAGGAATCGGGCATGCGTGGAGGTCGCCATGAACGTACTCCTGCCGACCCCGCAGAGCCTCTCGCTGCAGTAGCCCTGGCAGGTCTCCAAGGCATCCACACCCAGAAACGGGATGTAGTTGTCCCGGGCATTGTCACCTGAGCTTCACAACGACCTCTGCATGGGATTTAGGGTTTAGGAAGCTTAGCGTGTTTCAACCGGATAGACGTGATCCACAACTTCCCGGTGCTTGTACGGATGTTAGCTGCCTGCGTCAAGAAGGGGACCCAAAGAATGGCCCAAACAACAGCCCACTTCCACATGAAAGGGTGGTTGGATAGAATTGGTCGACGGAACAACGGGAAACCAGAGTCACGGTTGGTGTCTCTGTCTAAGAATTTTTGCACCTCATTTTGCGTTCAAGACGTTCACTATTCTTCTTGCCAAGCTCTCCACTGGGATGTTCCCCCCTTCTGCTAACAGTCCTTACTGGGCATTATAATAGGGGGTACTCTAATCCTTATAAGGACTGTCAGTATAAGGGGGAACATCCCAACTCTCCACACTCATGCGACTTTGAGTGCTGGGCACCCTCGGCTAGGGTGCGGACGCCAGTCGGTGCCTCGGCAGGCGATGTTCTCACCGCCGCGAACAGGCGTGAAGGAGAGCTTGGCCTGAAGCCGCGGGAACTTGGTTTAGGGGTGTTGGGGTGTTGGGGCGTTGGGGCGTTGGGGCGTTGGGGTGTGGGGTGTTGGGGTGTTGGGGTGTTGGGGTGTTGGGGTGTTGGGGTGTTGGGGTGTTGGGGTGTTGGGGCGTTGGGGTGTTGGGTTGTTGGGGCTTAGAAGTCTTACTAGTGTAGGGTTTAGGGCTTAGGGGGGAGGGGGGGGGGCACGTCTTGGGTCCCCAAGTCGGCCCCCGCAGCTGAGGATGCAGCTTGGCGGATGCCGCCCGCGTGCGGAGCCATGAGGCACTTGCCAAGGCCGTTCCTGCCGTGGCGCTGGAGGCCCACCCGGAATCCTAAACCGTCAAACCTAAACCTGGCTAAGGGGGCGTTGTGATAGAAACGAAAGTCCAAATTCTTCGTAATGTGCAATAGAATGCTAAATTACGGTCTGCGACTTGCAGGTCAGATGCTTCCTTCCTCTAGCTTCTGCACAGCAGGTCGAGGCTCTCGTCCCTTGTACTTCTTTCATTTTCGCATCGGAGGGCCTTGGAAAGGGAGGGAGGGATGAGGAAGAGAGAGCGCGGCAGGAGGAGAGAGGAGGGGAGGGCCCCAACAAACAAGAATCTCTTGCAGAGGATCTCAAAACCCTTAACCCCCTGAACCCAAGGCGTGTTAAGCCCGACACCCTAAACGCCCCACGTGTCTTGGGCCTGAACTGCTCCAGGGTCTCGTCGTAGAACCACGTCTGGCCAGGGGCTTTGCAGGGGTTCAGCTTCTCAAGGCTTGTAGAGCTTAGGCCTTCAAGGTCTTTAATCGCCGGGCTTTCAAGAGCTCAGACCTTGGGGGTTCGGTGCCTAGGTCTATAACACCAACCCTAAACCTAAATTTCAAAGCCTGCGCAGCAACGTTGGAAGTTTGCGGACTGAGAGCTTATAAGTCCCGGGTTTTTGGCCAGGACGGCTTGGTGCCGAAGGGCAAAGGGGGCTTGAGGAATGCTTCAGGGGGGCTTGGAGGAGGGGCTTCAAGTGGCTTCAAGTGGCTTCGAAGCCTTCAACGATGAAGCCCCCCGTGAAGGGTTCCAAATCCTTCCCGCCCTAAATATGCTTATCACGCCACTTCTTTACTTACCTGAACTGTCAAGTAGAGGTTTTGGGGGTGGGGGGGGGGGGGAGCATCGGCGCTCCTGGAGGTCGTCGCCGACGGTGCATGAACGCATCTCAAGGCAGCTCCTCGTTCCCAGTTTATGGAAGCTCCCCCGAAAATGGGAAGGGTCATCTTTGGGGCCCTGCCCCTTTGAAGGGGAGGCTCAAGGGACCCCTGTGATGTTCGAGGGTTGAGAATTTTAGGCGATCTATGCGGTTTTGTGGATGTGGGGTTTTGGGTTTAGGTTTTGGGCTGGAAGGGATGATTTCTCGTTTCCTGTAACCCTTAATCCGTAATTAACCCCTTTGGCCGGCGCTAAACCACTTAAACCCTCGAGCCCTGCAACCTTAGCACCGTAAACCTCAAGCCCCAGACCCCTGAAACACAAGAATTCTCAAGCCCAAGTAACCCAGGCCTAAGCCACCCTCTCCCTAACCTACCAAAGACTGAAACCCTAAACCCCATAAACCCTCAACCCTGAACCTCGTGAACCCTGTCAACCCTCAACCCTGTAAAGCCTCAACCCTAAACGCAAGCCTCAAGCTCTAAACCCTAAACTAAGCCCAGGGTCCTTGACTGCCCATCCTTGGCCGCGAGGCAGATGCCGGACTGTAGCCTGGAAGGAGGGAAAGGTCGAGGGCTTAGGGTTCCGGTTTGGGGAGCAAGCCGAGGGGATGAGGGCCACGGGTTCAGGAGCCAGAGCCCGCCCCCTGGCCCCCCCAAAGCAAAAACCGAGCAGAGTGCATTACCGAGACGGCCGCCAGGTCCCTAGTGCAACTTTGGGGGGAGTGGACTGCACGTGGGATTGCGCAGGCGCCTGATGTGGAATCCCACCGAGACAGGTGTCTGCGTTGTGGTGGCGATCCCATTGAAGAGCCTTGTGGCTAAGGCGCAGGGCGTAGGGTAGAGGGTTTAGGAGTTGAGGTTTGCGGTTTAGAGTCTGGAGTGTAGTTCGTGCCCTTAGCCTCTAGTTCTTATAGTAGGGAGCTTGGGAACGAGATGGTCTACGTCACCTTTGAAAGTTTGGAGTTCTGTCGTTCCCCGGCTGTCGGATTCAGGATTAGGGGGTTGAGACTTAGGATTGAAACCGAGCTCAGGCAGAAATCCTAACCCTAAACCAAATGACCGAGCGGCCACTGCTGGTTGAGGTTCTGCGGATCACAGGCTGCCAGGGAAAGCTCCGAGCCTGGCTCCGCGACGTTCGATGCGTTCTGTAGGGTTTAGGGTTTAGGGTTTAGGGTTTAGGGTTTAGGGTTTAGGGTTTAGGGTTTAGGGTTTAGGGTTTAGGGTTTAGGGTTTAGGGTTTAGGGTTTAGGGTTTAGGGTTTAAGGTTGGTCTAGGGTTTAGGGTTTAGGGTTTAGGGTTTAGGGTTTAGGGTTTAGGGTTTAGGGTTTAGGGTTTAGGGTTTAGGGTTTAGGGTTTAGGGTTTAGGGTTTAGGGTTTAGGGTTTAGGGTTTAGGGTTTTTCTCGACATGTCGCTCCCCGACGGGGCTCGTATGATGCCATGGGACCTTTGTTTCTGAGGTTTCCCATAGGACCAAGGATCTTGAAAATCCTGGAAGGTACTTTGATATTTTGTGTTGTGAAGAAGGACTTCCCACAAAGGACCCTAGCTTGAAACAACCCCCCGGATCTAACAATCTACCCCCTAAACCCTCTTGCTGCAGAAAGCAGGAAGTCCGAGCACGCTACCGCAAACCCTCAACTCTGAACCCTATGTAGCCCCCTAAACACTTGACCCCTCGCCCCCTAGCCCCCCAAAGCCTTAAAGCCCTAAGCCCTAACCCCTGAACCCTAGCCCTAAACCCTAAACCCTAAACCCTACACCCTCAAGCCCATGTAGCTCCGAGCCCCTGGTTCCCTCCGAAGGTCCACGGCCTGTGCCCGCCGCCTCCACACAGCGGCCCCACCTTCAGTTTGACGCGTATTTCGGGGATTTAAGGGTTTTAGGGGTTTTTAGGGTTTAGGGTTTAGGGTTTAAGGGTTTCGGGGTTTTAGGGGTTTTAGAGGTTTTAAGGGCTTGAAGGCTTTTAAGGGCTTTAAGGGTTTTAAGGGTTTTAAGGGTTTAAGGGCTTTAAAGGCTTTGAGGGTTTTAAGGGCTTTAAGGGTTTTAAGGGCTTGAAGGCTTTTAAGGGCTTTAAGGGCTTTAAGGCATTAAGGGCTTTAAGGGTTTTAAGTTTAAGGGTTGAAGGGTTTTGAGGGCTTTAAGGGTTTTAAGGGCTTTAAGGGTTTTAAGGGCTTTAAGGGTTTTAAGGGCTTTAAGGGCTTTAAGGGCTTTAAGGGCTTTAAGGGCTTTAAGGGCTTTAAGGGCTTTAAGGGTTTTAAGGGCTTTAAGGGTTTTTAAGGGTTTCAGGGCTCTAAGGGTTTTAAGGGCTTTAAGGGTTTTACGGGTTTTGAGGGCTTTAAGGGTTTTAAGGGTTTTAAGGGTTTGAAGGGTTTAGGGTTTGGGGGGTTTTTAAGTTTTGGGTTTGGGGTTTGAGGTTTAGAGTTTGGGGTTTCGGGTTTGGGGTTTCAAGTTTGGGGTTTGGGGTTTGGGTTTTTAAGTTTGGGGTTTGGGGGTTTGGGGAAAGAGTTGGGGGTTTAGGGTTTGGGGTGCTAAGTTTGCGGTTGGGGGTTTGGGGTTTGGGGTTTCGGGTTTGGGGTTTCGGGTTTCGGGTTTTAGGGTTTGGGGTTCAGGATTTAAGGTTTAGGGTCTAGGGTTTGAGGCTTAGGGTTCAGGATTTCGGGTTTAGGTTCAGGGCTTAGGGTTTAGGGTTCAGGTTTTAAGGTTTAGGAGGCTTTCGGAGCTTTAAGGGGGTTTACGCGAAGGCTTTGGGCTGAAGGCGCCTCGGTGAGGCTTACGTGGGTAGACTCGGGCCCCTTTGGGCCCCTGTTCAGAACAAAAACACGTCTCAAACCGCCCAAAAAGCGTCAACCCGAAACGCCTCACCCCTAACCTCGGAATCCATCAACGCGAACCCGCAATCCCAACTCAACTCAGCCCCTCAGCCCTCAACTGTCAACCCCCACCCTGGAACCCCAAACCCTGGAACCCTAAACCCTGGAACCCGGAACCCGAAACCCTAAACCCTAAACCCTAAACCCTAAACCCGCAACCCTAACCCTAAACCCTAAACCCCGTGTGAAGTCCAGACGCGGGTTCCACACAAGACCGGCCGTCTGGTCGTAGGCCTTGGATCAGCTTGTGTGGCTGTATGTTCTAGGGTTTAGGGTTTAGGGTTTAGGGTTTAAGGTTTAGGGTTTAGGGTTTAGAATTTAGGGTTTAGGGTTTAGGGGAGGTCGAGTTTAAGGTTCAGGGTTAAGGGGAGGATGCACGTAGGCAAACACCAACGAGTTGGCTTGGTTCTACAGTCCCGCGTCCCAGCATGACCCGGCAACATGCACAGGACAGAGGACTGAGCCCTTCGGCTTGGCGCAGATCCACTACAACGCTCACAGACGTGACTGCTGAGGGGCTTTTGAGGGTTTAAGGGCTTGGGAGCCTTTTTGGGGGGTGGGGGGGGTGGGGGGGGGGGGGTGGTTGCTGCGAGCTTCAAGCTGGTGGTTTTGGGGTCTTTAGCCCGAGAGGAAGTGGAGTGCTTCTTTTCCGAGGCGCGAAGTCCTGCACTTCGCTGGCGGGCTCGCAGGGCTGCACCGACAGAGCTGTCCCGGCAGCTCCTCCTGTCATAGAGACACCACTGTCTTGTTACTTGTTGGTTCTTGTGGGCAATAGCTTACCCCTGAAGTCCCTTAAAGGGTGATATAGGAGGATATAAGGTGCCTGATTCCTTAAACCCGAAGCCCTGAAGCCTATATAACCTGTTCACGACGTCATTCCTGCCTATACCGCCTGAACCCCAGCCGCAAGCCGAATTCCTAAACTGGCCCTAAACCCGAAACACCAAGGTGAAGTTTGGGACTGTAGAAGCGACGTGCCGCAGGCTTTGATATGCCTGCAGATTGGGGTTTGGGGGGGTTAAGGGCTTTAGAGTTTAGAGTTTGGGGTTCGTAGGGTTGAACCACTGAGCAAAAGAGCCCAAGACGCTTCGCGACCTCCTCTGACCGAACCGGCCTTCGCTCTGGACGCATGCCCCATCTCCCACAGACAGCCGCAGACCCGTCTGGTTGTAGGCAAAATACTGCGCCAAGCCTGGGATGCTGAGTGGCCCAAGAGGAAAGAAGCTTCACCTTTGCTTGAAGGGGGTTAGGGTATCCTGGTATCCTACAAGGCTAGTGGGTGCCGATGGCGAGGCCCCTTCCGATGTGTCCGGTCGCGGATCTAACAGCTTCGATGTCAGTGAACTGATACACGTTGCAGAAGCCTGCGCCACTACCCCAAGCTCTAAAGCAGGTTCGAGTGTGCCAATATCTACACACAGACTCCGCCGTGCTGCTGGTTGCATCGCAGTCGGTGGCAACCAATCTCAGCATAGCCGGGGGAGCTGAGGGAGTGTAACGAAGTGCGACCTACCCAGTTTGAGTCTGCGAAGTAGATGAGTCAAGCCCTCGAGCAAAAAATACTCCAAATACCTGCATAGCCAACCTCGAAACTCTGAAGGCTTAGGAGAGTTCGGGAGTGAGGGTTTAAAGGTCTAAGATCCAGGATTCAGTGCCTTGGCTGTAGGGTCTTTCGGGCTTAGGGTGAAGGGACGGCCTCAACATGAAGCCTCCAGCCCACAGGCCCTGAACAACCCCTGTAATCCCGACTGCACCGACTAATCCGAAGTCTCCTAAAACATGGAGCCAGCGTCCCCTGAGGCCCTCTCCTCTCGCCGCTGCGGGCCGCACAGCCACCGCTCCGGCGCTCCAGCAGCCTAGGGGGGGTTCAGGGTTTTAGGGTTTAGGGTTTAGGGTTTAGGGTTTAGGGTTTAGGGTTTAGGGCTTGTAGTTTAGGGTTTAGGGCTTAGGGTTTAGGGTTGAGGGTTGAGGGATGTAGGGCTCAGGGTTCAGGGTCCAGGGCCTCGGGGCCCTTTGACAGACTCTTGGAACCACAGTGCCCCTTATGCATCCCATAAGGAATTAGGGTTTGTAGAGTTTAAAGGTGAAGGGTGGTTAGGGTCAAGACATAGAACCAACTGAGAGGCTCTGTCGTCTGGCTTCGGGCTTAGGTTCGGGCGTTAGTAGAGTTTGTAGAGTTAAGGGCTGAGGGTGCATGGCTTAAGCTTTATACGGCTTATGGGCTTACAGTACTCTAGGGCTTCGGGATGGCAACCACGCTAAACCCTAAACCCTAAATCCTACACCCTAAACCATAAACCCTATAGATGATACACCCTACTGTAAACCCTAAATAAACCCTTAACCAGGCAGTCCAGGAGCCCCGATTGGCTGGGGCTGGGCCGGCCCCAGGTCGTCTCCTCAGCGAAGGGAGATTCTCATAGGCTCAAGTTTGAGGCCTCGAGGTTTCGGGTTTAGGGTTGAGTTTAGGGTTTTAGGGTTGAGTTTAGGGTTTTAGGGTTTTAGGGATTTAGGGTTTTAGGGTTTTGGGGTTTTAGGGTTTAGGGTTTCCCGGTTTGGGGCTTGGCGTCTAGGGTCGGGCGTTTGGGGCCTTTTGGGGGTGTAGAGGGTTGTTCTCAATTAGGGACCCTGTTGGGCACCCCCGTCTCTCAAGGGATTCTCAATGATACCTTGCAACATTAGGTTTCGGGGTGAGGGGGCCTCTACGTTCGCAGCGAGCAAAAGCCTGCCACTAGCGGCCACAGCTTAAACTACACAATCTACATCCATCAGAGGTCCTCGCAATCTCTTGCAAGAAGGCTCCTGGCAGTAAATCCTGAACCCGACGCCCGCAGCACCTTAAACCCGAAATCCTAAAAACTGGATTGGGGCAGTGTTACCCTAATCCTAAACGCATAACCCATCCGAGGCCGCGTCCGTCCAGCCGGTCGTGCCGGTAGTGGTGGTCGTGGTGGCCAGCTGTGTCTCACCCCAGTGCCACATCCTGAGAACAGCTAGACTAGCTGGAAACTTCACGGCTCTGGTGGCGTCCCATATGGGTTTAGGGTTTAGAGTTTCGGGATTACCCCCGGACAGGGTAAAGGATAGAAGGTATGTACGGAATTCCCAAATTCCCTGCGAAGAACTCCTAAGGCAAAGAGTACCCTAACACAGCAAAGCCCTTGTTTCTGTATTTTACCCCAGGACGAACCCCAAAACCCTTGGGAACCCTAAGCCTTACCCTGACCCTATACCCTAAAACCTTGGAACCCTAAACCCTTGAGACCCGAAATCCACAAATCTTGGGAACCCCAAACCCTAAACTCAAACTCCTGAACCCTGGAAGGGCCCCCCGGCCGCACTGGCGTTAACCCAAGGGGCTGGTTTGTCTCGGTGGTGCAGACGGCTGTGACCACCTAGGGACTTTGGCTTTAAGGTTTGGGGTTTGAGGGTTTTCGTGTTCAAGGTTTCGGGTTTCGGGTTTAGGGAGTAGGGCTTGAGGGCTTCAAGGCGCAGGGCTTGGGCTTGGGCTTGGCTTAGGCTTCGGGGGTTAGAGCTCAACTAGGGCAGCTTCGCCCGAAAGCCCCAGCACGGAAACCCTGGAATCCCTAAACCCTAAACCCTAAACCCTGAAATCCCTAAATCTACAAGCCCCGAGAGGGGGACCTCGCGAAGCTACTGCAGGTCTTCGACACAGGCGGGGGCCACCAAGGGAGCCCAACCGCATGAGATTCTCGTCTGCTTGGTATACCATAAGGGCCCACACAAAGCGAAGCTGCAGTTTAGGGTCTAGGGTCTAGAGTCTACGGTCTAGGGTCTAGGGTCTCGGGTCTAAGGTTATAGAGTCTGCGGGCGGAGAGAGTGTAAGTCAGTGTAAGTCTCTGGGTTTGTGGCAAGAAGCCTTAACAACAAACTTAGAATACCCCACAGAGCCCTAAGCCCGTAACGCTCAACCCAAGACACATTGCCCAACTAAGCCCCTGAAGCCCTTCTAGCCCCTAAGCCCTAATCCCTAACCCCTAACCCCTAAACTAAGTGAGGGGTCGCTTCCGTCGAGCGACAGACCCCGAACGCTCGGCCGAGGCCTTACAGCCCGAGCGCCCAAGCGAAAGGAGAAACGGAAAAGGTGAGGGTTAAGCCTGGGTCTAGGCGGTCTAGGGTTTAGGGTTTAGGGTGTAGGGTTTAGGGTTAGGGTTTAGGGTTACCCTAAGCCCTGAGACGACTGCGGTTCCCAGGCCCAGAGCCGAAGTGACTTACACCCCAAAACCCTCAACCCCAAACCAAGGACCCGAAAACCTAAAACCCTAAACCAACTCTCCAACCCTGAAGCACTCGAACCCTCGAACCCTCGAACCCTCAAACCCTCAAACCCTCAACCCTAAAACCTCCAAAAATCTCAAACCCTCATCCCCAATCGGTTTGTTGCCTCGTTCCACTCCACCTCCGGCCGAGGACGCACCTCCAGGCATAGGCCGCCTCTGGCATTTAGGGTTGAGGGTTGAGGGTTGAGGGTTGAGGGTTGAGGGTTGAGGGTTGAGGGTTGAGGGTTGAGGGTTGAGGGTTGAGGGTTGAGGGTTGAGGGTTGAGGATCCAGCATTGCCTGCAGTTCGTATCTCGCCAGTGACGGCGTCCAGCGTGAAGTTCCTGGCAGGCGAGTAGACAAGCTAGGCTCCGTTTCAAGATAGTGTAGCTATAATGACCTGGAGACACTATCTGAGAAGTGTGCAGGCATCCTACCCCCCTCGACCCTTGAAGGAACGAGCCCAAACCCAAAGGTTTAGGTCCAGGGGTTTAGGGCTGAAACGGGCAGCTTGACACCACTTCCACCCGCGGCCAATGTAGCAGGAACGACCAGCAACCCTCAAGTACAGCTAGGTCGAAACAGCTATGCCTGGGGTTTTGGCCCCTCTGAGAAACCTCCAGAACAACATCCTCCTAGACCCAAGAAAGGGCGAGCCATCTTGCATGCAAGAATCTGCGCTGGCTCTTCATCGGAGCAAGGCCACATAACGAGGAGCGTGCCTGGCACGACTGCTCCCAAGCCTATGAGCCCCGTCCAAGATCCAGCACGCACTCAAGACCAAACCCTGCGCATTGCATGCATTGGTTTGTGTATGGCTTAGGGTTTAGGGCTGCTGCACAAAGTGGGTCTCGTCCGCCTCCGAACTAGCCATGGTAATAGGAAGCAGAGCTACACCAGAGTAACGTAGCACACGCCTGCACCAGCCAAGCTGACCCGGAACCCTAAACCTCGCGAGCCTGGAGTCGTCTTCTCGGCAGCGTGTAGGCATCGCAAGCTCTCCTGCACTGAAGACATGGGAGGGCCGGGCGGGGAGGGGGGTGGGACCCAAGGGCTCGAGCTTGGGCTCATATGATAATTCATCGAGGTACATTTAGGAGCCGAAAAAGTTACCAATTTTCACCCATTTAGGGCTTCGGACTTAACTTAGAGTTTAGGTCTCAGGGTTTCGGGCACAGTCCGGTCCCTCAACCATCGAACCCTACACTCCCCAAAACAGCGGTCCTCCGCATTTGTCAGCTGGCCTGTGGATGGATGGTGAAGCCACTGCCTCGGCAAACAGGCCTAACTAGGAACCGGCATTGAATTCAAATGCCTTCTCTCCCATTGTTGGGGCTTGGGGGGTTAGGGAAGCAAGCCGGCTCAACACAATGTGGCGCTGCATACACATTAAGTCGTGGCCCTAGTTTGGAGTGCTTCTGATCATCGGAGGTAGTGTAGTGGAGTTTTTAACTTGTTACCAGACAGGCCCTTCATGGATCAAATAGGCTTGAGAGGTTAGAACTTAGGGTTTCCAACTTTCGCAAAGAAGCTTGAAAGGTTCGGGGGCTTATGGCTAAGGGCTTCAAGCCCTCTAAACTCTGGATTCGGCTTCTTGAGAAACCAGGCGAAGGCCGGCTAAGGCGCTCGGCAGGCACCGCCGGCAGGAAGCAAGCGTGAAGGTTCCTCAGCTCAGGCTTAAGGTTCAAGGATCAGGGGCTTCGGGCTGAGGGCTGAGGGTTTAGGCTGCTAGGGGGAAGCTTGGAGGGGCCCAGGTTTGCTGGCATGCCCTGGCTCCAACCCCAAGCCCTCAACACCCCCAAACCCGAACCCCGAAGGCCTCAAACCCACCACATGCCTCTCCTGGCCGGCCGGCCAGAATCGGTATCAAGTTCAGCGTTCAGCTCCCGTATAACCCCAAGTTCTAGGTCCTTAGTACCCCACCTCCCCATGCCCTCCCCACCCCTACCCAGCTCCAAGATTCACCGCCGCGCCGGAGCGGTTGTACTCCTCAGGGCGAGTCGTGGGGGGGGCACGGGGGGTTCAGGCTTTTTTTGCTTCAGACTTTTGGGGAATGAGGAGGATCTGTAAATTTGGTAGGTTTTCGTAAGAGAGCCCAGGAGCCCCGGGCTGCAGACCGTGAACAAACATAAGCAGGTGTCCTGATTGCGAACCGTACTTCATACTCAGACTGTGAGACTGTTTAAGGTCTACTCCCAAACCCAGGAGTGTTGGGCTCTGGTTTAAACCCTACACCCTAAACCCTAAACTCCAAAACCCTAAACCCTAAACTTTAAACTCTAATTCAAAGGAGCCACGAGCTCAAAGCTTTAAGAAGCTTTGCGGGGCTCTTGAGGTTTGGGGCTCTTGGGCTCAGGGGACTTGGGACCTCCTCGCCCTCGATCCTACCAAAACCAAGAACCAAAAAATGACCAACGTGTAGTCATCAATCACAGCGCTCCAACTAACTAGGGCCTTAATAATTAGAATAGGGTTTTAGGGGCTATGCGGGCGAAAGCCTGTCGAAGTCAATAATTAAAGAAGAAGATGTCATCTGCATCCTCAGCAATAGCTCAGAGCACTGAACAGATCTACAACTTGCTGCAGATGGATTGCAGCAGTAAAAACATTGCATCATATTTCTGTGACCAAAGGTCCAGAGTCTGTACAGGAATATCATGCGACTTAGGACATCTACGTGTGAGATTCCTAGGTTCAATCGAGTAATTAAGAAGTTTCTTGCAGCAAGCACATTCTTCAGCAGGAGCCCACACAGGTTCAAGCACATGTGTGCGGAAGTCATTTCAAGAAGCTGGCTCTGTTTGAATCTTTCAAGGCAGTCTTTAAACCTGACAAGTCTTTTGCAAGCGGCATTGAAACGCCTAAGCGGTCCAGGCTTAGGTGGAAGGGCACCACGAATTTCTTGCGCAGTCATCGAATTCCATTGTTCAAGTGCGACATGGGTGATGCAAGGGATGTTTTTGTGAACCCCTTGATTGCAATCATTACGGAGATCAAAAATCTGATCAACCCAAGGAAGGCGAAATTTGGAAGACAACCTGGGGACAGGCCAATCTTTACACAGCGGAATGGTCATAAGGCTTGCGCTAACAGTTCCAACCGCATTACAAAATTGGACAGGGGTTGTGCGGAGAACCTGCGAATTAACACAATCCGACAGACGAGCATCAACACGAATGGCTTGTAGATCAGACGCGGCTTTCGTCAGATCCCAAGCAGGGAAGAAGTAAAGACTCTCCGAGAATGCAGCTTCGGGCGGGAAAGTTCAAGCCATTTAGCCTGTCTTTCATGGCCCACTACGAGATGGCTAAGATCAGTATTATCGCCTTGATTTTGAAAAATGTAGGTAGTGAGAAGCCTAAATTTGTATGACGCCATGCCTACAAATTGACAATCGCGAAGGAAACTTGCAGAAGAACCGCCGCGCTGAACAAAAAGGGCAAGAGCTTGTGTCCAAGCTTTAATTTTGGAATAGGGTTTTGGGGGGAGGGGGGGGGCTTATTATAGTACATTTATCAAGGGACCATAAGGGAATACTATTCATATACTATTCATAACTAGTACTTATTCCGACCCCTAAATGAACCAAATCGCAAATCATCTTCTTGAATCGCAATAACAGCTATCAAAGAAACAGTTCTCGTCACAATCTCAATGGCCTTGGCCATGAGGCACTGGCCGTCCGCATACCTCAGGAAGCCCGAAGCAGTCTTCGGGGCACCGGGGTCCCTCATGGTGGAGGGTTAAACAGTCCAAGGGCTTTGGGTTTAGGGTTTAGGGTTTAGAGTCCAAAGTTTCATAGGGTTGAAAGTTTCAGGGTTTGGGTGTGGGGTTCAGGGCTACTAAAGCTTGGGGCTGAAGCTTTCGTAGGGAACTCGCATCTTGTTTGGCCCGACGCGCCCCCAAAAACTGTTGCCATGGGCCGCCAAAGCCCTAAGGCCTACTACCCCTGGTTAGTAGGGAATGGGAGAATCAGGTACCCTGCATAATCCCTTCCAGGGTTTTTGTGCGCCCGTTTTCCCGTAATCGACCCCCTCCCCCGGATGGTTTCCACCCCCCCCCCATGGTATCCCCCCCAAAACCCTGCCCGTTAACCCTAAAAACACCACGGACCACAGCGGAGAGAGAGCGAGAGCGAGAGAGAGAGAGAGAGAAACCCCTCAACCTAAATCCCAAACCCTGAATCCTAAGCCCTAAAACCTAAACCCACCAATGAACCGCAGAGGGGAGAAGGGTAAACCCGAAACCTTAACCGTTTAACCCTGAACCGTAAACCCAGCACAAACCACAGGGGGGAGAGGGGAAACCGTAAACCTATCATTACCCCAAACCTTGAACCCTAAACTCTAAACCCACCGTGAACCAATGGACCAAGGGGGTTAGAGTGAAAATCCTGCACTCTACAGCCTAACCCTAAACCCTAAACCCATGAACCATGAACCAAGGGGGGGGGGGGGTACCAGGCAGGGGGGAAGGGGGCGGCTAGTGCGGCTAGGCTGGCTCATGTATAGGGACCAGGGGGATAGAGTATATGATATAGGGTACCTCATTCCCTCATTCCCAATCAACCCAAAAGCCCAAACACCCTGTAACCCCGCAACGCTAAACACCTCAAGCCCTGTCTGACCCTAAAACCCCAGACCCTGAAGACCTTAGCTCCTACAAGCTCTGAAAACTCCAAAACACTGTAAACTGTAAGCTCTCCTAAACCCGACAAGCCCTAAAACAAAGGGTTTAGGGTACCCGCCTTAAGAGCTGTGCACATCATCCTCTGCACGAAGCCCTCAAACCCCAAAGCCTACGAACAAGCCAACCAAATGGCCCTAACCCGAAAGGACCCGCACCCCATGCAAAACCTTAACCTCGAAAGCCCGGATCCCCTAAAACGCCTCAAGCCCCAAACCCCGCAAACCCCAAAACCACCTAAACCCTCAAAAACCCTAACCCCTAAACCCCCAAACCCCCAAAAAACCAAGCCCTGCACCCCCCCCTCACCCCTGAACCCTAAACCCTACACATCTGCGATCTGGTCCCAGGTCGCTGGATCCAGATGGGGCTCGGAGGTGGCTTCGGGGCACACTGGCAGATGAGGTCCGGCGTGCCCTGGTGAGGGTTGAGGGTTCAAGGTTTAGGGTTGATGGTTTAGGGTTTAGGGTTCAGGGTTCAAGGGCTTTAAGGTTGAGGGTTGAGCGTTTAGGGTTTCGGGTCTAGGGTGTAGGTCCCATGCCTTCATTGAGGTCAAGGGTACAGGATTTCGGGTTTGGACTCAACATGAGGATCCCGATCAACTCCCTGATAGAGGAGGTTCACTTGTCGCGAGCTACCCAGGAGAAGAAAGCTGGGAAAGATGCTCGCCCTTGAAGGTTGAGGGTTGAGGGTTGGGGGTTGAGGTTTAGAGCTCAGGGTATTGAGGTTTGCCCAAAAAGAGCCGCGCCTGATATTCCTGGTTGCATCGTAGCGGAGTCAGGACTTCGCAGCCGTCGCTTAAGTCCTCCCACCTCAGCTCGAGTTTAGGCTTCGGGCGCCTCCGTCCCTTCACCGTCGTATAGGGGGGCCTTTGTGAAGATACTGTAGACAATGCCAGCTTCTGAGAACGAACTCCATGCTGGATATCAGTTCTTGTTAAGTAGATGGTGCGGATACTCAGACAAGAGCCGACACTCAAGAAGGCTGGCTTCTTCAACACACCCCCAGACATACAGAGAGAAAGAGCGAACAAGCGAGCGAGAGAGACAGAAACGTGTCGAGTCAGAATCCGTGAGAAAGCCATCAATGCTAGTCCTTTTGCACGCAATTGTTAGGCTTGCAGGTCCCTTTACCCCCTCCCAAACCCCCTCCACCTGAACCTTCAACCCGTTTTCAGCCCCCAGTGGATAGGACCCCAGCGCTGCGACGCAGAGCAGTTGGTGACTGTTGCAGTACTGCTCGCAGGTCCTGCAGAACGCCAGGAGCTCGGGTGACTTCGATTTCGACGCCCCCATTTTGTTCGAGATTTTGAGGTTTTTGAGGCTTAGAGCCTTTTCGGTTACCACAAAGGAGGGCCATAATTTTCAACAAGCCCGTTTAGGGTCCAAGGGGTGGCACCATCCGAAGGTTCTTTTGGTGGTAGGAAGGGATTTTCGGAGATGCTCAACGGCACTTGACAAAAATCACCAACATCAACCCAGCTATGCCATCCAACAGCCAGCGAGAAACAGATGATCAAGGACCGATAAAGAAAAGTTCGCGCGAGGCGGCATAGTAAAGCGACTCGCTCTCGCATGGCCAAACCTTGCGTTCCGTTCCGTTGCGGTCCGTTTCCTCTCTTCCAGCTGCTCGGGCTCGGGAGTCTCATTTAGCCCCCTCACCTCTGGACATAGAAACCCAAAGCTTCGGCTGTTGGGAACAAGGGCCCTTAACTTTCAGAACCCCCACCCCACATGAGGCAAGAGCACCTGCATCGAGGGGCTTCCAGGGCCTCTCTGATGCAGGGGGGGCCTAATTAGGGCTGGAATGTGGAGGGCACGCTATACCTTAAACCCTATACCCTACACTTTAACCCCCTAAACCCTCATTGCAATTTTCAGGTCCGCGCCTGCCCAGCATCCCCGAGGCCAGCACGGTGCAGCCATCGTCGGAGCAAGTCTGGAGAACGTCGCCCAGGGCCGCACAGGCACCTTGAAGAGACTACATACATACGTACATACATACATACATATAGATATATATATATATATATATATATATATATATAGACGTGTATATATATATATATGTATATATATATATATATACGTACACGTACATGTATATACATATACATATCTTGTGTACATGAGAAGGGTCGCCAGGGTTTGGTTGGCATTTTGGGCTTCACAGGTGGGAGAGTTCTTAAGTGGCACCACTCGCAGGACAGCCCAAACAGGTGCTTCGTAGCCCGAAACCCTAAACTCTCAACCCTTGACCCTTAAATGGCACCTTCAGTCGTCGTCGTGGTGGTCGTTGCGGGCGTTGTCGAGGTGGTCGTCGTGGTCAAGCATGGGATCTCCTGAGGACTGGCAGCTCATCTGCGTCTAGAGCTCCTCTTCCACTCCGCATTCCACCCTCTCTGGCTTCCACGGAGCCCTGCAGGTCACATGTACTCCTTCAACACTCAACCCTGGACCCCCGTACACCAAACCTCAGCCCGACCATTCCCAAAGGTGACCTCCCCGCCTCAGGGCCGAAAATTTTTAGGCTCCGCAAAACAGCCTTGATTCCCGCGGGGGGGCGGGGGTCTGATGCCTAAGCTGTGCGAAGCATCCTCGAACGATCCAGATCCGCAGAATCGGCACTCCACGTTTTTGCCTGAGATCCAGAGGCGGCGTTCACGGAGGGGCCTTTGGGAGGAACTTTGGGCCCCCCGTAAGCCCCAAGCCAAAGACGTTGCCTGCTGTAGCAGCTCCTCCCCTAAACCCACCCTGAACCCTACACAGTTGAGAAACCAGATTCCCTCAAAAAGATATCACCGTAGCTTGAGCCAAAAAGTACCCCCTGGCCACTGTTCTTTGTTACTGGTTGCCTACATTGTGCTTGTGGAGGTTCCAGGGGCGCGCGTGAAAGGTATTTGAGGGCCCAAACAAGGCAGCCGCTCTGAAGGGGGCAAGCCCCTATGAAAGCTGGATGATCTCCAGGCTTCCCAGGGTTTAGGGTTTAGGGTTTGGGGTTTGGGGTTTAGGGTTTAGGGTTTAGGGTTTAGGGTTTGGGGTTTGGGGTTTAGGGTTTAGGGTTTAGGGTTTAGGGTTTAAGGGTTAAGGGTTAAGGGTTAAGGGTTTAGGGTTTAGGGTTTAGGGTTTAGGGTTTAGGGTTTAGGGTTTAGGGTTTAGGGTTTAGGGTTTAGGGTTTAGGGTTTAGGGTTTAGGGTTTAGGGTTTAGGGCCTAAACCCGAGGCGCCATCAGCGAAACAGCCGAGCTTGCCGAAATGGCACAGCGGCTCCCAGTAATACCTTCAGGCGGGCTCTTGATTCTGTGGCCTTCTTGCGAAGGTTCGAGGTTCTCCAGTAACCGAAAGAGAAGGGAATGCGTCTCGTTACCTTGTGGCCACTCCCCGGAAACAAGTGGGACACGCCTTTGAACCCGAGGCGTATCCAAGCGCCAGACCCGGATGTTTGAGGCGGAAGCGCCTTGGACCCTCAAACCGATCATGTCTACTGCAGCCTGTATGATCACTAAAACGAACATGGTATGTAATTCTAATATTGTCTTACGATGGTTGGGGGGATGACCTCTGCCTGTCGCGACAGCTTAAGACAACGACTTGAAGCCGTGGTGCCCGATCGCGGGCGGGTTCGGAAACTCGCAGGCCCCAGCCACGCCCGTCTTCCCGGTGCAATCGTACCTTGATCCGGGGGGGTTTAGGCCCTGACGGCTGCTGCGGTTGCGGATTGGTCTCCCATGCTCGAGGAAACTGCATGTCGTGTCGGTCCATCTACCCCTCGTCCGGACCACTTGGCTGCTGCGCTACATGCAAAGACTCAGACATCTTGCACCAGACTTCCCAACCGTTTCGCGGATTTTGCGTATTGCGGACAACTTCGGGTACCAAAACGCCCACAGTCTAAAACTCCTAAAGCCCCATCTCCAAAAATCGAAAAGAAAACTACACCTCCTGGGTACGCGCAACAAACTTCCCCCAACTCCGAACCCTAAAATGTCCCTAAAACCTCAACTTTCCTAAGCTCTAAATCCAAACCCATAAACCCTATGACCTAGTAAACCCTATTGGGAACCCTATAAACCCTGCAAAATCTCTAAACCCTGTATCCTTCTTCACGACACCGACCCTCCACAAAGGCCAGAAAGCCCAACATACCCGATCAGACCCGCCCCAGCCAACCTCAAGTTCCCCCAACAACCCGGCTTAGGGTCTAGGGTTTAGGGTTTAGGGTTTAGGGTTTGGGGTTTGGGGTTTAGGGTTTAGGGTTTAGGGTTTAGGGTTTAGGGTTTAGGGTTCAGGGTTCAGGGTTCAGGGTTTAGGGTTTAGGGCGGGGTGTAGGGCTTAGTGTCTCAGACGCCATTTTTCCCCTCCCTGGTTAGCTGAGGAACCGCTTGCCCAAGTCGCAGGTGGACGCCTCCACGAGGCCACCCTTTTCCCCCGCCACTAAAAGCCTAAACCCCAAACTCTGAACTCCAAACACAAAAGTCTAAACCCTACACCCAGAACTGCTTCTTCCTTTCAGTGGTAGGGCCCAGGGGGCTTGCACTTCGTTGTGAGGTTTCGAAGAGGGTGAGGCACTTGAGGGGTTTAGGTTTATAGGGTTATAGGGTTTTGGGGTTTAGGGCGCTCAAGACCCAAGTGCGGAACAACCGTATCCGGTAAGCAGCAACATTGCTGCAGCAAACAAGGCTTTGCTTGAAGGTTGTATATCCTCTGTGTGCACGGCGCATACAACAATGCACAAGGCCAGATGTTTTGGCTGAAGACCTGGCGGGGGGGGGGGGCTCGAGATGCCGCAGTGCCGGCATGGAACGCAGCCTGTCCATGTTAACCGCCGGGCGCGCTCGAAATCCTCATTTTCCCATGCTTCATACTTGCGAGAGCACTGCCAAGGCCTCACGATATTGCAAAACCAAAGTTGCAAAAACTACTAATCGCGCCTTAGGCTGCACGGTAGCAAGCGCTGAGCCCGATACCCACGCCCCAAACCTCAAATGAACCCGAAACCCTAAACAAAAGGGGCCCCGCCTTCACCGTGGATGCCGAGGGGCCTGGGTTCTTTGCAGGACCGTCGCTCTATAGGGCCTTTAACGCCTTGACATGCCTTGACTTGGCAAAGATCCTAAGGAACACTTAAAGAACACTGCATGTCGAGTGCACGAGCCTACTCCCTTTCAAGTCCCAGTGGCAGGTCCTCGTCCCTCCTGGTGTCGGACAGCACTCGGAGCCTTGGGCGACCCGAGCAAGTTAACACCATACCCCGACCTTCCCGCACTGCCCAAGTATTCAAGCAAGGCTGCTTGAATGCGCCTTATTTCAGTGAGGACCTAAACCCTAAGTCCGACAGCCTTTGTGCGTGGAGGAATTCGGGCCCTGAACCTGACCCTCCACCCTCCTGAAACTGCCTGGGCCCGCCTCGGCACTGGTCCGTGCAGCTTCCGTCCGGGCAGCAAGGCACCTAAGGCTGGCAGAACAGAGTATTTTGAGCCCCCCGGCCCAACATGAGGCCCAAGTTCGCCTCTGACTCGCCAAATCTTTGCCCTTTTGCTCAGCTTTTTCGGTTTTGGGAGGAACGCTGGCCTCATCCCAGGACCCACAAGTGCACAACCCACCCTGCAAAACAGCAAACAACCTTGTCCCCAAACCCCCCAAACCCCTGCCACACCCAAACCCCGACGCTGCTGAAAACCCCAAGGAAGGACCCACTATCTCACATCATTCTAGGGTTTAGGGCCTTGGAGTTTAGGGTTTAGGGTTTAGGGTCTAGGGCCTTAGCGGCCTGAGGGGCCTTAAACCCACACCCCAAAGCACATCCCAGAAAAGCCCACCGGGCCTCCGATTCGAGAGCGCAAGTGCCCGGAGCCGTCGTTGTTACCTGACGTGGCGCGTCGAACTTGAGGGTGTAAGGCCTCCAACCCTACACTCCCTAAACCCAAACCCTAAACCCTAAACCCTAAACCCTATAAACCCTAAACGCGAAGAACCATGAAGCTGCGTCCGGCGGCCGACAGCGTCGTGGCGCCCGAAGTGGTGGTCTTGACCAGGCTCGAGGCCTGCTGTGCTGATTATTAGGGGTTGCGTGAGGGGTTTAGGGCGTAGGGTGTAGGGTTTAGGGTTTAGGGTGTAGGGTGCAGGGTTTAGGGTGTTGGGTGTAGGGTGTAGGGTGTAGGGTGTAGGGTGTAGGGTGTAGGGTGTAGGGTGTAGGGTGTAGGGTGTAGGGTTCGGGTTTAGGGGTCCAGGGTGTGGTGTTAGGGTGTCTAAGGTCTTTCGGCCCATGATACATTCCTCACTTGCAGAGGAGCCGTGGTAAGCCCTACCCCATTAGGCCCCTAACCCAAAACCCCAAACTTAAACCATAGACCCCAAAACCCTAAACCCTAAACCCTGTTCAAACCCTAAACCCCCAAACCTTTTCAAACCCTGCACTTGGGATGTTCCCCCTTACACTCAGAGTCCTTAACAGGGATTAGAAAAGGGGGTACTATAATCCCTGTGAAGGACTGTTAGTATATTGGGAGACATCCCAACCCAAACGCAAACCATAAACCCCAAACCCCAAACCCTAAACCCCAAACCCTAAACCACCCTAAACCCCAAACCTTTTCCCTCAACCCTGAACCCCAAACCTTTAAGACCCTGCCCTCCCGCCCCCCCTGGCGGGCCTCGAAAGCCTGCGTGAGGCACGACACGCTGGGGGCGGTCCAGGGAGCGCGGCCCTGCACCCCTCAGCGTCGGAGAGCGACATGGGATTTAGGGTTTAGGGTTTAGGGCTTAGGGTTTAGGGTTTAGGGTTTCAGGCTTAGGGTTTAGGATTTAGGGTTTAGGGTTTAGGGGTTGGGGTTTAGGGTTTAGGGTTTAGGGTTCAGGGTTCAGGGTTCAGGGTTTAGGGTTTAGGGTTCAGGGTTGCGAAAGCGAGTTGGGTGGCCACGGCAGCTGCGGCCAGGGGATTTACAGTTCCACGATGGTAAAGGAGATCCCAAAACCTTCAACCCCAAATGGCCAGCAATACGAGCACTCGGGCAACCTTCTCCGACACCCTTCAAGTCTAAGTTTTCTAAACCCTAAACCTTAAACCCTAAACCCTAAATCCTAAACCCTGAACCCTAGGCCCCAAACCGAAACCCTAAACCCTAAGCCCTAAACCCTAAACCCTAAAACTTCGCTCCAGATATCTGCGAGGAGCCCAACCAGCTCCGGTCGTCTGCGGCCGCCACCTCGCAAGGGGTAGCAAGGCTTGAGGGTTTAGGGTCTAGGGCTTGGGGTTTAGGATCTTGGGGTTTAGGGTTTAGGGTTAGGCTTTAGGGCTTAAGGGTTTAGGGTTTAGGGTTCAGGGACTTTTGAAACCTTGAACACCAAACACCAAACCCCCAAACCATCAACCCCAAAAAAGCAAACCCCGGGTCGAGGTCTCCTACTGGCTCTTAGTAGGGAATGAGGGAATGAGGCCCCTGGATGTACCCTGTAAGGGCTGAAAAAGGGCCCTGATTCCCCTCATTCCCGGTCTAAGAACCAGCAAGTGGTGGGCCTGGCAGGTGTAGTTGCCGACGGTGAGGACGACGGCCTCCTTGAGCCCACTGACTTCCTGCACAGCACTTGAAGCTCGGAGAGGGGGGGGCTGAAAGGGATTACTTGGAGGTTCATGGTCGTTGTAAGTAGGGTTTTAAGTATATACCCTTAATATAGTTATCTAAGTCATTATTCATGAACCTTCTAGTAGGCTTTAGTTCAGGGTTCGGGGTCTAGGGCTTAGGGTCGTAGGACCAAACCTAGACAGCATTAAGAATCATAATCGTGCTTAGGCCCCCTTTTCGATCATGTGGTTATCGAAAGAAATAACTTTGTGGAACCCTCACTACAAGGCGGCTTTTTCCATTGTTTGGAGGACCTCGCAGCTCTGCCGCAACACCCTGGCCGCCCGGCTCGGAGCCCATGGTTTCGGGCTGTTTCGGGTTCAGGGGTTACTTTGGGTAGATATAAGTGGGGTTTTTAATATAAAAATAGCTGGCTATGACCCTTTTTAATGTACTTAGAACTCACTGATAACTGCCCAGGAATCTGCCAAGGAGGGGTTTGGGGGGGGGAGGGAAGAGCGCCTCCAGCACGACGTCCGACAGCTCGGTCGCCATGTCGCCGCGGAAGTCGCCTGACACTTCCGCAGGGTTTGGGGTTTAGGGTTTCGGGGTTTAGGGTTTAGGGTTTAGGGTTCAGGGTTTAGAGTTTAGGCTTTTGGGTTGAGGGCCCTAACCTGGCAATTTTGTTGATTTGCGGGCATGCGGGAGGGCCCGGTACCTCTTACAAAGGAAGTGACATTACCTTGATTTGTGATTCCATGCCGGGCATCCGGTAGAATCGTTTTCAGGCAGCTCCCCGAAGCAAGAGGCCCCTAACAAGTCCAACACAAACCTAAGGATCACCCCAGCATCCCCAAAACACCTCCCAAACCCTAAAGCCCCAAAACACCCTATCCCGAACCCCAAACCCTAAAACCCCAAACCCCACAACCCCAAACCCTAAACCCCAAAACCCTTAACCCCAAACCCTAAACCCTAAACCCTAAACCCCAAACCCCAAACCCCAAACCCTTAACCCAAACCCCCAAAGCCCGAAGGCCTGCCAAGCTGTAGTTGAAGCCAAGCGCGACCACTGCGCCATACCCGCGATGCATGGGCTCCCAGAGCAGCTTGCCCGCGTTCATGCCCTGACAGGTGGGTTTAGGGTTTAGGGTTTAGGGTTTAGAGACTCACATGCCCAAGAATTCGAGAGTTCGTCTGGGGTGCTCAGCACACAGACATGCGTTCACACACGTGCCGGGGGGTCGCGGCCTTGACGATGGTGCTGTTGTTGGGCTCAACATCGTAACCAGGACCTCGGAAACAGTTTTCGAAAAGGTCTTCACGCGAGCGGCGTTATCGAAACTACTTTCGACATCCTGTCTCTGTCTCAAGCTGTTCCAACACAAAGTCGATGTCAGATCGTGTTCTGCACACAATCTGACCATTCGCGTTGAACAAGTCCGAACAACCACCGGTTCTGCGACTCATCGATGGCACATATCGGCACCGACAGGCAGAGAAGCTACTGCAGTTTGATTTGCACGCTGCTAGGGTGGCTTCTTTGATGACCAAGATCTCCGATCCCTTGCAGTCGACCTCAACGCTTTTCACTTCTTTGTGGTGAAGTGACACGCACCGGCTGTGCAAGAGCACTGATAAACCCGCAGAATGACCACGTCGTACACAAGTCACAACGAGCATCCCAGTCCTTGTACAAGTCGCAGTCATCACACCTGCTTGCGGCAACTTGCGGCAACCTGCGGCCTGCAATCGGAACGCCTCTCGTCAGCCGGGGAGTAACAATCCTTGCCACGATGCTCTGTCACTTCCATCAGGCTGCCGAAGCCCTCCTTGATGGGCATCGGAACAAAACTGTCGTCTGCCGATATGGCCCCGCTCATGCCTCTCACGCCCAAAGCCACTAGCACCGCAAGGTTCGAGTTTAGGATTTAGGGTTTTGGGGTTTTGGGTTTTTTGCGTTTAGGGTTTAGGTTTTAGGGTTTAGGGCTTAGGGTTTAGGTTTTAGGGTTTGTCCATCCCTATGCCAACACACCCCTCGCTGCATGCATGTGCCGAATCCCTGAACCTCATACACCGTAAACCCTATGTACTATTTATGGATGTGTACCTATACATATACATGTACATGTACATGTATGTGCATGTATGTGCATGTATATGTATATATATATATATACACACATATACATATACACATACATATACATGTACATATACATATACATATACATAGACATATACATATGCATATACATATACATATTTTTTCTGTGTATATATGTATATGTATATATGTATATATGTATGTATATATGTATATATGTATATATGTATATATGTATCTCCCTCCAAGAGAGATGCTGAGGCCCGGGCCCTTCAGCTGCAAATCCCCCAGGTCCGCGCTCCAGAGATTTAGGCGCCGCACCTGGCGGAGGGGGGGGGGGGGCATCTGAAAGATGAGGCTTGGGGTCCTAGGGTTTATGGTTTAGGGTTTAGGGTTTAGGGTTTCGGGTTTCGGGTTTAGGGTTTAGGGTTTAGGGTTAAGGGTTTAAAGCCTCGGGTGCTTTCAACTTTCTTGAGCTCGGATCTCGGGTTGCAGGGCCCAAAGGTCCTTCAAAACCCCAAAGCCGAAACCCATTGGCGAGGTGCTCTCAACCCTCCACAAGACCCCACCACCACAAACCCTCAACCCTTCTTGAGATTCATCCATGTATACACAGACGTTGATACCTTGCAACCCAAGACTTTTAAAAATAGATATCGCCACCTAACAAAGCCCGTGGGAACTCCCGCACTGTCCCAGCGCCTCGAGCGAGCAAGCCACGGCTTCATCCCACTCGATGCTGCTGAGGGCCTCCGCGAGCTCCCAGGGCCCCCACGCGTCCCGCGCGTCGGGCTTTCGGGGTTTAGGGTTTAGGAAGCTCCCCCGAGCTCAAGCAGAGAATCCTTGAAGGACATAGGCTTTATTAGGAAGCTCCCCGAGCTTAAGCAGAACCGCCGGAAGGTCAGCAAAGCTGCACAGCCGCTGGAGTCCAAATCCCATCGCGACTTTCACTTCTCCTGCCTCCCCTTCACAAACTTCACATCCTCTCCGGACCCCCCTTGTTGAACCTTCCCGACATCCGACACCTTCCCGGCACACATTCATGGAAAAAATCTGCTCGGCTCGGGACTCCGGGCTCTTCGGGTTTCGGGGGGTGTAGGGGTTTCCATGCTTGGGGCCTTCGGCTGCGCAACGTGGCACAAGAAGTCCAACCACGAACCCACAACATAAACGACATGAGGAAAAAATAGAACGCTGCGTCTGCGCCTCGCAACCCGTGAGATTGCTGAAGCCATTCAGGTGCTTGCTGACCATGGACCTGTGTGCTTGGTCGTTGGGTTTGGTGTGTGGGGGGGGGGGGGGGGGGCTGGGAGGTTCTGAATGAGTGGCAGCTCTTTGGGGGGACCCTAAAGTTGTAAATCCCAAACCCTCCACCCTAAACCCAACCAAAAAAAGGAACCATAACTTCAGAGCACAGGCCACGGAAGCTAGATTCCGCTCGTGCCGAAGCTACATCCTAAACCCCTTAATCTTGTTTTGGAGTCGGGGGCCCGGTGGCCAAGGTGGGCGGGGGGGAGGGGGAACCAAACTACGGATATCTCGAAAGTTGGCGGTTGGGCCGGGAATTCCTTGGACACCTGATGGGTTGGACCCAAATGCTCTTGAAGTGCCTCGGTGACCCACCGGCAAGGTTTTCAGGAATGAAAGCAAAGCTGTGAGAAAGTTACCCTAAGGTCAGCGCCCGCGGGCAGGCGCGCAGGGTTCCCCCGACTCTGAGTGCGAGTGCCGGCTCCGACATGCTCAGTGAGACTGCATGGCATGTTGACGGAGATGCAGAGATACAGCGCAGCATGTTGACAGCGATCACTTCTCTTCCAAGTCTCCTTATTAGGCTGACGGGACGTTGGGCATGTTGATGGTAAGCGTCCCACCTGTAACCCCCCAATGAGTCATCCTTCGAGAGGAACATGGGCTGCACGTAGCCCAGGTCCACCTCCAAAAGGCTCACAAGCTATCTTAGAAATTTGAGACTTAGAACCCCAAACTCAAAACCAAAGGTTTGCGAGGTCTTTTTTGGGCATCAAAGAGCAATGCGTGAACCTCCCGACTCCCCATGTTTACCCAGTTCGCGCGCACCGTGCTGATGCCGAAGGCAATCTTCTTCTCACCGGGGCGAACCTGGACACGGTGCGGGTGGCACGCCGGCACATTGAAATCCACAGCTGGCGGGGTAGGAACTCTGAAACTCGTTTTGGGGTTTGAGAAGTTTACGGCTTAGGGCTTAGGCGCCTCAACCCCAAGTCGCGCATGAGCTGGCAGCCTTCGTGAGGTTCACGCTGGAGAGCAAGTACTGCACGTTGCACGGGCCACCTGTCCCCTAAACCCTAAACCCTAAACCTCCAATCCCGAAGAGAAAACACACCCGAAAAGAACAATGGAACCCAAGATCAGAGAGTTCGGATCAATTTTCAGGGCTGTGGGATCTGGGGGTTTAGGGTTTAGGTTTAGGGTTTGGGGTTCGGGGTTCGGGGTTGCTGTGGATGCGTCGAGCAGCTTCTGGAATGCCTCTTGCTTGGGGGAAAGCTACGATGAGACCCGTCCCGCCTGCCCCACCCAGGCCGCAGTGTTGGGCCGCGCAGAGGGCGCCGCAGCCCATACCACCCCCGGCAAAGGTGGTGTTGGTGATGCGGAAGGTGAACCTCGGGAGCAGGCTCAGGTTTCAGAGGCTTAGGATTATCCTGCTGGCTCTTCCTAGGGAGAGAGGGAGTTTTTGGTACCTCATCTTCCTCACTCCCCCTACTGAGAACCCCACGAGGGTTCAGTCTGGGGCGGCTTGGGGGGGCTTTAGGATTTAGGGCTCAGGGCTCCGCAGTTTGCCCGCCTGCGCTCATTTGGGGTTCAGGGTTTAGGGTTTCGGGTGGATTTAAAGGAGGGGCCCTTCAGGGTATTGGAACCCTAAACCTTAGGCCCCAAACCCTTTGAAGGTTGAAGGGTTCGGGTCTTTTTTTCAAAGAAGGCCCTGAACCCAAGGCCCCAGTGGAGTCAATTTTGGGAATTGCTCTTCTTAATCTTACGAATGAGTGAATCACTCCAACCAGACCACACAAGATGTACTTTCACACTCGCACCGCCTGTTGCGTTTTTTGCAGTCTACGTCCACACGCCCGAATGCAACACACCGCGCCTCGAATCCCGAAGCTTCAGCTTCAGGGCCCTTCCGTCTTTACATGTAGCGATTTCCCAAAGTAGGGTTGTGCCCCTTTTCGGGGGTCCTATATTAAGGATCCGGGTGAATCTTTGGGGCATTGCCCATTTTCAAGCAGCCACTCACAGTCCACACCTCGAGTTGTCGCACATGCAAGCTTCGAATGAAGTCAAGGGACGGTCCGGCCGGGCCAGCTATGAGAGCAATCTTGACGATGGTCCGGTCCTCATACATTTCAAAAGCACCCAAATTGAAAAGACGCTTCGGTCTCCACTAGCTACAGCCTTTGACCTGGGCTCCACTTCTTCTTAGGCCGGCGCATTCGGGTCGCTGAGGAAGAGCGAATCGCGAATATGATGAGTTTTGCCTGACACGTCGACGAAGGTTCTTGGCATTCCAAGTAGCACAAGGCTTTCCACGGTTGGAGCTGACCAGCTAGTTCTAGTCAAGCCTTCCTTGACACTTCGGTTTGGTTTCAGGATGCCAGAAGTTGCTCTATTAACAAGGCCCAAGAAATGTTCATTTAGCAAAGAACGTAGAAATGCAAAGCCAGCTATTGAAACCGCATGTTTTCAGGACGCCTGTCCATTCTCAACTCGCCACACCCGATCGCCAAGCAAATCTAGGATGTGCCACGATATCTGCTACCTCTGACGCTTGATAGCTTCTGCTGAAGGCTCAGGCTCCGAGAACTGGATGCCAAAGGCAAGACCATCCAAACCCTAGACCTCGCAGTCCTACTTCCCTTGCCGACACCCTGGCTGCCCTAGCTGCCCTAGCTGCGGTCCGAGTGCCATCGGCAAAGTTCTTCGATTCCTTCCTCAGCTAGAGAGCCACCATGCGCCCAACACTCTTCTCGGAGGCGGGATTCTCCATTTCTTGGGTCTCAGATTCTGCCGAGCTTCCAGTACAGACCGTGGGCGTTGTTCACGCTCACGAAGCGCAGGAAGGCGATGTCCCCCATGGAGTACCTTTGCCAGAGGTAGGTATGGAAGCTGCCTTTGGCCACAGGGTTCTCTAGAAAAACCCTGCAAGGGGGTTTCATCCAAAATTCGGGTTCTTGAGGCATGGTATCAGCATATCATGGGCACCCAGTGGAGCCTTCACCCTGACATCAGCGGTCTCACGAGGCTCAGGCAGCAAGACTCCAGTATCCTCAACCCTACAAAAAGATGGTTTTGTCTGAGCTTCGGGCTTATGTTTGGGATTCAAAGGTTCTAAAGGGCTCATCAGGGGTCAATTTTCCTTAACCTAAGCCCTCAACAAGTATGGGCGGCTCCTGGGAAAAAGGGCTTGCAGGCGCTTGCGAGTTGAGGGCTCACGCCTAAGGCAGGCTTCGGGGCTGAGGGGTTCTTCGGGCCACTCCAAGCGGCGAAGGGCTTAGGGCTTCGCTTTTGCACGTACGAGTAGCGGGCGCCAATCTGTCAGTTTCGAACCAATTTCTCGGATGACAGTGTGGAGCATTGGAGCCCCTCCTGCGAATCTTAAACTCCAGCTATCCCTGAACATTCCACATTCCCCCATACAGCGATCGGGGGGGGGGGGGAATCGAAGGTTCGGGGAAGGGGAGGGGGGGAGGGGGACGGATAGTCAGATTCTCGTAGCACGAAGTCAAGGAGCTGGCCAACAAAGTCGTTGTGCCAGTCAAACCTTGGCTTGCTGAAACCATAAACCCCTAAAACCCTGAGTTTTTCTGGGGTTCAGAACCCAACCCCCAAAATCCTAAGGTTTGGGTGCGATAATCATTGTGAATTGCACACCTTACTTCTCACGAGTTCTCAATTCCCCATCACCTGGGCCTCGTAACCCTCATAACCTCCAAGAACCCTAACACGGTTTGTTTCAAAGCTCGCGGCCGACACCCCTAAAACTCTCAATGCCTAAGCTGCCCCGCCCCCAAACCTTCAACATGCACAGCTAAGGGCCAGCAAAGACACCTCCCAGACACCTCCCTTTAAGTCTAGGGTTTTGGGGTCTCAGGCTTTGGCGTTTTCGGGCTGTAGGACGGCAATCTGAGGAAAGTTGCTCCCTGACGGCTCCAGTCTACATGCGCCTCCAGCTGGCACGCAACTCTAGCCGAACCACTCAGGCATATTGTTGAACACCTTAAACACTACATGCGGATTTCCCTTTTTATACCCCAAATAGAACAGCATGCCCTGCAAGGGACCCCAAAAAGGGTCCCGGTAATTTTCTGAGACCCCCACATCCTAAACCCGCACCAAGGCAGCTCAGATGCTGGTCCTCGATGACATTGGCCGGAGTCACGCCGTTGTCGCGGCCGTCCTCTGTGAACTCGCCGCAGCTGCCCATGTCTGCCACGTAGCCGTTCCTGGTTTGGGGCATCGTGCACTCGACGTTCTATGCTCCACATTCCATATGGTCAGTTCTCGTGCTGACCCAGAAAGCCTCCGAAGAACTCTGGGAGCAACCTAAACCCTAAACCTTAAACCCTGAACCCCACTGCAACCGGAGGGTCTTGTCTCTCTCGAGATTGCGAGGCCGCTGGTTGTCGAGGTAAATCCTGCGGAACAATGGCTTTGGGGTCTTTAAGGTTTGGGGTTGAGGGTAGTTTCGCCAGGGCCTCCGTATGCCCCAATCGCAGTACTGGATCCTCAAGCCCCAACACCCAACAAAACCCTCAACCCTAAACTGCTTCTTTCTCTTGTGGGGAGGAGGCTGCGCCCAGTCCCGAAGCGGTTGTTGTCGTGGCAGACCTGGAGGGCTCGCGAACACCAAAAAGGGTCCTTGAGGTGCTGGTGCCTTCAACCATGGACGCGCTTTGTGGACGGAGCCCTCAACCCTACAAAGACCCTAAAAAGACCCGACTTGAAATGCCTCCAGGGCAAGCGAACGAGAGAGAGAGAGAGAGGGACCTGAACATCCTAAACCCTCAACCCTAGCGGCTAGGCTCCGAGGCAAACCAAGCCCAAGGGTGTTTAGGGTTTAGGGTTCAGGCTTCAGAACAGGTTCTTGGGTTCCAGGGCAGGCTCTAGGGTTCCAGGTTGATATGCTGTTGCCAGGGCACATTGCCCCGGAAGATCCCAAAGGGCGTGTTCTGCGGGCAGACTTTTCCCAGGGCCGCACCCTGGCCATTGAGGTAGATGGAGCCATGGGTCCAGATGCCTGAAAGTTTCGGGCTTGGGGGTTTAGGGTTTAGGTCCTCGGGTTTAGGGCTTCGGGCTTGGGGCTGAGGGCTGAGGATTCCAGTGAACGTGTAGGATTCGGTGAAGCCCCCAAGGCCGGAACCCTGAACCCCAAGAGCCCTGGACCTCAAACAGCGACAGTATGTAATTTTGATTGACGCCTTGAAACCGTTGACGCCGTGGATCTAAAAAACCAGGTTGATGCCGCGTTGTCGCCGTTGACGGGATTGAAACCATTGAATCCACTGACGCCGTTGACGCCATCGTGTCTTTGCGTCTTCACACGGAAAGTCACGTCTTCGCGTCTTGGCGTCTTCGCGTCTTCGCGTTTCCGCCCGACAAACTATTCACCTGTACGGACATCAATGCTAAAGCCCCGGACTGGTAGCCTCTGGGGCAGACAAAGAGGCTTCGGGTTTCGCGGGCCCAACAAAATTCCCGGGTAGGTTTAGGGCTTGAGGGCTGGAGGGCTTGAAGGTTTGAGGGCTTGAGGGCTTGAGGGCTCGAGGGCTTGAGGGTTTGAGGGTCTTGGCTGGGACTCCTTTGCATGCCAAACATGCCAGCCACTCTACGTGACAGACCTGGCGCAAAACCTTTCGTGGAGCCTGAAAAAACGCAGCTATGAGCCACGAAGTGTGTGTAGTCGTTGCCGTGTTTTGCATAGCATCACTGATGCTCTCTGGACGAGCGGCAGTTCTCGAAGCCGACCACGCGGTTCTCGATGAGGTTATTCGTCATCCCGATCCTGGCTGCTACCCCACAGAGCCGACAAGAGTCAGGGCTCTTCACGGGCTGAAGCTCTGCTAAAATCACCCGCCCTGTAACATGATTTAAGGTTTAGGGCTTAGGGTTTAGGGTTAAGTGTTTAGAGTTTAGGGTTTAGGACAATGCCAGCTGCAAGGCCAAGGAGCATGTAGATTCCCGCAGCATTGTTCAGTTGTACATCCCATGGCGTCGAGCACTTCTGGTGCTGAGAGCAGATGATGACGTTGTTGCCTTACGCTTTGGGTGAAGGCATCAGAAAAGCTGATCCAACAAGCGCCAATACACTTGCGAAACCCTAGTGCGGGTCAACGTTGATGTAAGTGCCTTGTAAGGCTTAGGGCGTCCGGTACCTCATCCCCACATGCCCAAAGCTCTTGGGTGCTTCGGCACCCTGGATCAAGCGCACTGAAACCACCAACCACACACTCACAGACCACCCTTCCACCCAAACGGACCTTCCAGAATATCTCAAGTGGGATCTTAACTTGCAAACGAGCACCGAAACCCCGACACTGCAAGGGCTCCCGTGGACGTACTGCTGATTGGATCCCGGGTCTCCCATTGAGCTGCTAACACTGAGCCGAAGAAGCTGATTGTGTTGAACATCTCATTGCCATCCTCCACGTACACACCTCCATTTGGGAGGGGGGGAGGGGCCTTCGGGTTCCGGATTCTGGGCCCTAAATTCGCACTAATTGGCACCTTGAACCACATAAGGGTGCATGGGTCTCGTTTGCCCGCAACTTTCTCCTTATTTTCATGTGACCAGAAAATCCATTTCCCACAGAATCCATGCGCGGCGGTGGGCATTTTCGTTTGCCAAGCATGTGTCTGTCTTGACGATCATGCCCAGAGTTCAGTGCCTGCCAAAGGATATGCCTCATGGTATAGCACGTACGTACTTCTCGTGCGGCCACCTTGTGAAGGCAATTGCCACCTGTGAACAATCAGACATGCTGTATCGTACAGCAGCTGCAGCTTGTGAACTATCAGACGTGCTCAAACTGCAGAAACGATGTAGCTTGCAGCGCTTGGAACTTCTGGACGGCCAGAGAGGCTGCTATGAAAATGTTCGGAGCATGCGGGACCCGTTCGATCCTGTGATTGTCGTTGCTGCCGGTAATTTCATTTTTGCTCATTTCATGCTTTTGCAACACCCTGCGCTGAGACCGGTGCAAAGTAACTCAGCCATCAACCCGCATGTCCCAGACTTCGAAGTGGCACAGCGTTCAACTGCCACCCAGGAATTAAACATGTACATGAGTCGTCGAAGTCCGCCAATGGTGTACACATGGCACAAGAGTGCTGAGCCTGTGACCCCACATGGTAGCACTGAAGTAGCCAGATCCGCGGTTCTGATCGTCGGAATGACTTGCGGACTCGACCGCCCTCTACGTTGCACTAGAGTTTGAATTTTAGGCCAAGACACTGAACCCCAAAGCCCCAACCTTGCCACGCCTGCAGAAGACGTGTCCCACATGACATTGCCCTCCACAAGGGAGCGGTGGGTGCCTGTGGTCCAACTTCGCTCGAGTATCGTGTTTATAAGCTGAGAGTTATGGACTGTTGAGACGTAACTTTGCAAAGCTTAGGTGTTTGGGCCATGCCGCATGCCACGTAATGCCTAATCCTGGTGCTGGTTGACAATGACGACAGACGTCTGGCAGGTGCTTCAAAGGAGAAAAGAAAAACATCGCAAACCCCAACATCCCTGAACCTATGTCGAGCACTGACCAAGCCACCGTGGATCGTGATTCCAATCTGCGCCGACCTTGTCATTGCCAAGAGCTACCGGGGGGTGATCTTGACGTGAGCCCCCTCAACTTATATATATGCAAAGGGAGAGGCGGAGGGGAGGAGGGGAAGGGGGCGGATGGGGCCAAGGGAGCTCTTCTGTGCGACAGGGCCTTTCTGGAAGAACAACCCTAAACCCTAAACCCTAAAACCCTCAACCCTAAGCCCTAAGCCCTAAACCCTAAACCCTAAACTTAACCCTACAACCCCCATTCCCTGGAAAGACAAAGCCGAGGCGCTGGTACACCGCGTTGCCCTTGAAGGTGCAGTCCGGGCATTGCCCGGCGTGGTGGAAGTGAAGGCAGTACTTTCCCATGAAGTTACGCTGGCCGCCTTTGGTGGGGTCCCATGATTTAGGGTTTAGGGTTTAGGGTTTAGGGTTGATTCTTCTTGGGGTTGAAGAAAAAGGGAAGGGCTTTCGGAATCAGAGTGTTTTTTTGGGGGCGGGAGGGGTGGGTGGGTCTTCACATTTTTGGGTACGTAAGGGAGTCTGCTGAACAAGAAGAATGGAGCGGGGCACCGAATCCAGAACAATCCTCGGGCTTTGTCTCGGGCTTCGCGGGGCCCGAGCTCACCGGCTCTGTCCCTCCCCTGAGCCCCCCAGCAGTACTCCACCCGCGCAAAGCGCAGGTCCATGACGCCGCCGTGCGCGCTGATCGTGTGGAGGCCTGGTTCATGGGGGCTGGACTGCTTGTCCGAGACCGGCACAAAGATGAGGTCCGACCAAGGGGGGACGGGCAAGGTCTTGCGTCTCCCAAACTCGCGGACACGCTGCATGCTTGCCCCGCTTGCCTTTGGCCGTCGCTTCGAAATCATCATGGTCGCCAGTGATGACGACAGAACGCTCGAGGTTCACCTGCAAGGTTGAGCGATTTGGAGCTTGGCATAAACTACCGGAGCAAGGCTCTCAGACCATTTGGACTGCAAGATCTCAGATCTCCTAAGAGCCCGAAGCCCAATCTGTGCCCTGACGGTGTTCTGGTTGCAGCTTGGTTTCCACTTCAGCAGCCATCTCAAGCCAGAAGCCCTCCACCTGCTCGCAAACATAGAGCGAACTTCGGGGATTAGGGCTTATGTCCAGGGCATGCCGTTGCATGAGGTCGTGATCCTACAAGCACAGTTTGAATGACAGGAGTGCACTCTTGAAACGGTTAACCCAGGACTCAAGGAGCTGAAGCTACAGCAACCATCAGCCGACCGTATGCCCTAGGCCCGTAACCCACCCTATGGGGAGCTAGCGCCAACGTGTGTCGTGAGAAAAAGGCGTCAAACCACTTGAACTTAGGGAGTCTTCCTTAAGAATTCAGAGCAGAGATCTCCCTGCTACACAGTCTCAGCTTCCCTCCGAAGAGCCTTGCAAGAGGCCCCTACAGACACTACCACTCCTGCCGTCCTCCTTTAGTACTACAAGTAGGCCGGGATGAAACCGGAAGAACGGCCTGGCGTTGGCCTCCCCAGTGGTCTGCTTCCAGGGGCGTGTCGAGGTGAAGCACCTCGATGCTGAGGGCTTGGGGATTGGAATGTTTTCTGGAACTTTGGGGCGGCTTTGGGGGTTTCGGGGTGCATCTGAGGTTTGGGGGGCTTTGGGGGAGCTTTGGGGACATGGGGGGGCTTTGGGGGAGCTTTGGGGGGGGGGCTTTTGGGGGGGCTTTGGGCACGACCCAAGCCCACAAGAAGCCTGGAAATGAAGCCTACACTGCCACAGCCAGAGCACGTTGGAGACCGTGGCATTGACCTCTTTGCCGTAGGCCTTGACCTCGTAGAGCCACACCCCGGCCCAGGCAGGATGCCACTCGTCGCGGGAGGACCTGGGGGCTCTGAACCGAAGAGGCCGAGATGCGACCCTCTTTCTTTAGGGCATCTCCTCACTTCGACTGGGACAAAACATCCGGATCTGCTGCCACTTGCACCAAAGTGCAACTGTCCAAACACGGCGGAAACAGCTACGGTTGCTCGTTCACTACGCCGAGTGGCACAAGCATGCAACACATCCCCATGAACTCTGCAGAACTCCGCGGCTACACGGAGTAACCCAGAAACGCATCTTCGCGCCTGTAGAGCACTGAAAGGTTAAAGAAACCCCCCACACTCATTTATGAGGACGAAACTCCTGACTTCAGGTAGAGGGCAGGCTCCTGTAGTCAGCGGTGACTCGCAGGTGCGTGCCGAAAGCAGAGCCCATGGACACCTCCTGAGGGGCCGGAAGGCTTCAAAGAAACCTTGATTTAGGGTTCTGTGGGTTTAGGGCTTAGGGTTTTACAGTTTAAGGGTTCTAGGGTTTTAGGGTTTCAGCGTTTTAGGGTTTAGGGTGTCGGGTTTAGGTCCTACAGGCCTCCCAACCTGAACCTTGCACCCTCAACCTTACAAAACCCTGAACTTGGGACTCTAAACCTTCCGTAGACCCTGAACCTCGGCTGCTAAACACGGGCTCCTCTGCTGCCTGCAAAATCATGCCCTCGCAACCCCCCTGAAAAAAGCAGAAGTCGGCGAGTTCGCAGGGCTCAGGGCTTCGTTTCCTCCAAACCACAAGCCCCTTATATAACACCCTTACAGCCCCAAAAACCCTTAAAACCCTTAAAACCCCTCAAAACCCTCAACAACCCTCAAAAACCCTAAAAAACCCGAGCAAATCCCTTGAAACCCCTGAAAACTCTTGAAACCCCCACAAAAAGCCCTTCAAGAAAATAGTCCTAGTAAACCTCAAAACCCTTAAACCCCTTAAAACAGCCATAAAGGTTGAAGGTTTGGGGTCTGTCCTGCCACCCGCCGCCGGCCACTTCCATTCGGACCTGTCTGCAGGCTCCTGGAAAGTCCTGGAATCGAGGGCCCAGGGGGCTTCGGGGATGGTTTAGGGTTTAGGGTTTAGGGTTTAGGGTTTAGGGTTTAGGGTTTAGGGGATTCGGGATGGTTTAGAAGGGTTTGGGGTTTCAGCGGGGGTACCAAGCTTTCAGGCGTTCAGGGGTTTCAGGTCAAGGGCTCCAAGACATCCTCCACATGAGCACAGATACCCGCGGCTAGCGATGCCTGCGCCCGACACCTCCCCACAAAAACCACTCAATCTCCGCTCTCAAGCAGGGCTCCCGTGTGCAGCTGTCAGGACAAGGTCCCTCACACACCGCCACCTGAAGGGGAAATCAGCGGAGCACTATCTTGGCGCAGAGCTGCTTAACTCGTCAAAATAGGGGTTCCTCGAAAAGGGGTCGCTGCGCTGGGTTAGGCCGCAAAACGCGTGTCAATCTGTCAGGACTTGTTCCGCCATTTGTCACTAAGGCAGAAAAACATCTCGAAATCACCAGAAAATCGTCCGCGAGGGAATCTACTTGAAGACACTGGGGCCCAGGCCGTGTAGATGGGGGCATTGCGATAGTTATCCCAAAGCAGCTGCACACCTTGGACATGTTGGGAGTCACAGCCGGCTTCTGCCTTGCTACATCTCCGGTTTGTGGGGAAGGCTCACGATTTCGGTCCTCCAAAAGCAGCCAGAGCATCTCGCTTTCAGACACTACCACAGCACAACTCGTGGAACAGGAGCCAGGACGTGCGCTGAGCTACTGTTCAGGGGCAATGACGTCCACATCGCACTGCAGAGCCCTTCGGCCCTCCGCTGCCCTACACCCTGAGCCCCTTTGACACTCAACCCTGCCCAGGGCTTGGGGCTTAGGATCCCCTAAAACCTCCTAAGCCCCAACCCCAAACCCTAAAACCCTGCAAGGGTTTAGGGCTCAGGGTTGGCGTGTTCGGGTCCGGCTCCGCCACTTCCCAGACGCCCACATAAGCCCAGGGTGCGGGAGACGTGGCTGGGGACGGCGAGCTGCATCTCGAGCCAGTGCTCTTCGCCTGCGGGAGGTTATTCCAAACTAGGGCTTAGGGTTGGTGGGTTTAGGCTTCACGTTTTGGGGCTAAGGGTTGAGGGTTCTCTAAGTTAGGGTCCTCGTTTGGGGTTGCTGCCTTCGAAACCCTGGACTGCGGAGTCTCTCCCAAACACGTGGGCTGAGGGCTGACATTGTGGGGCTTAAACCCCAAAAAGCCCCAAATCCACCTGCTCGCATCATGCCCCCCATGCTTGGGTTTCGGAGTTTCGCACCCCAACTGAATCCCCAGCTGGGCCTGTGCAATAGGGAGCACACCAGCTCGACCATCGAGTATCCTCGAGCCTCAGTTTTTTTGGAATCAGTCTGCATGTGGGCAAGCAAGCTTCTTGAGTCCCATGACTTCTGTGCTCAAGCGTTTTAGAGTCCAGAGTTTAGGGTTCGGGCTGTGGAGGTTAGAACCTGCATCGTTTGTACAGCCCCGAGCCCTGGCAGCCCTTGTCGGCCACGAAGCCCGTCAATCGCATTCTCCGGGGCTTCTTCGCGATCAACGCCTCGGGAGATGGAGATTCTAAAGGCATTCCAAAGCCTTATAGACCCTAAACTTCCTTAAAAACCAACAAAAGACAAAAGGTGCGTTGGGCCCAATAAAGGCTGGGCGAGTAGTGTCGTGAGATTAGGGGTGGGGATCTAGGGGTTTAGGGTTGAGGGGCTTAACTCCGTGCGTCTGGCGGCCTGCGCGGGCGCAGCAGACGTCCAGGCGCCACTCTTTTGGCGGACCTCCCCCCGTGTGCCAAAGAGAGATACGCACTTAGGGTTTAGGGTTTAAGGTTTATGGTTTCGGGGCACCCCGAATCCTTAGCCCTAAACCCGAAAGCCTAACCCTGGACCGTACAGCATCCCATCCAGCCGAAAAAAAAAAGACGGGCATCGTCAAAAGCCCACCCTGAGCTGAGGCTCTATAGGGTGGTCAATTCACAGCTTCGTGTTTGTTTACGTCGGGCTCGAGGCGCCATTGAGAGTGAAGTTAAGCTGTGGGCCTTTGTGAGGGGGGCTCTGAAGCCCTGCCTTGTTTCGCCTCTCTGCTCATGTATACCCTCAATCCTGCACAACCTGACAAGGCTTAAAAACCCTCGAACCCTAAACTTTAAACATCCCTAAACATCCCTAAACCCTCATTTTGGGACAACCTCCTCCTCCCCCCTCCCCACTCGGCGGAGGTGTTGTTTTTCTTAGGCCACGAAAAAAAAAACAAACCCCCTAAACCCTAAACCCCTCCCCCAAAAGAATCCCCAAGGCACCAATAGAGGCAATCCGGTGCTCGGTAGACTTGCCACGGGAAGTCGTGGCCACCCTGAAAAGAGCGGGCTTTAAGACGTGCTCGGCGCCCGGCCAGGCCCGCCCCGGGTTTGCAGTAGGGGTTGGGGTTCGGGGTTTAGGGTTTAAGGGTTTGGGGGGTTTGAGTTTCGGGTTTAGGGATCAGGGTTGCTAGAACTGCGCAATTGGGGGCAAGGTGGTGGGACCCGCCGCGCAGTTGAGGGCGGTTGGGAAAGCATTGAACAACCAAAACCGAAAAAACCCGCAAGCCTACAAACCCCTTACACCTCGCCTAAAGGCCCCTAGAGCCCGACAGGGCCCTGTGCATGCAAGTGTCCCAATGAGGTCGCCCACTTTCCAGCCCATGAGGTGTGGGTCATGCTTCAGAAAGAGCTGCCGGCTGCCTTCAGACCAGGGGCTCCAGGGTTTCGGTAGGTTGGGATATCTTGGTGTGGGGGGGGGGGGGGGCGAAGGTTGGTTTAGGGCCTAGGTTCTGGCGTAAGGTTGGTTTGAGAGGCTGGGCTTTTTGCCAGCCCTCATTGAGAAACTCAGGCGGATTGCTCCTCAAGTCACCTTGCTTCCATCGCAGTTGCACACGACGCCAGAAGCTTAACCTCCAAGCCCTCCAAAGTTGTCTGAAGAATCGAACTTGTATTGCCAACAATCAACCCCCACACCCCCCCCCATCGCACTGCAGTCACAGCCGACAGGGGCCTTTTTCCGCATTGCGGCTCAGCAGCGTCCATGTGCGAGCAAGCCTGGGACAGCTTCTCAGCGACACGTGCGAGGGAAGCCGTGCCTTCATGAGCTCCAAGAACTCTGAGCACTGCATACAGTATCAGCGCTGTGTGTATACATACGTGCTACATGTGCCTTTTGGTATGTA